TACAAGCATTACAGTGGCACAGCTACAAGCTTTCCGTCCCTGTAGTAAATCCAACCCCTTGAGAGGCAGTAGCTAAGTTGACGGAAGAATTCTTCCATTGACTTGGCGGTGTACACATCAGGGCTTAGGATGGTTTAACTACATTTCTCAGGGGTCTGAATTTTTCACACCCCTGAGCAACACAGCTAGGTCAACAAAAGTTTTAGGTGTAGATCAGGCCTAAGGCCCTGACCCTACAAAGGGATCAATGCTCAGCTTGGAAAGTAATAAAAAGGGCCTTGCAAAACCTCCTACAGTTATCTGGTTTGCTTTCATAATTAGGTTTGGGCTCAAACACATCTCCCTACATTACAGCCCAACCAATTGCAGCATTCTGATCATAGGGGAGAGACTGAAAATGAAACTGACCAGAGTCAGCCTGGTTTCCTTGTCTAAGCTGAGCGAACAGCAAAGATTAAATCGACAGCAGAAAAGGAGAACGTTGAATTAGACGTTTAAAAGTCTTTTTTTTTTAAAAAAAATCGAATAATCTACTATGTTGTTCTTAGCAATTGAGGTAATGAAATCATTTTAAATTCATAAAGTTGAACCCAGCAGAATCCTTTTAATGTGTTAGAATTAACACAAGAGCAAAGAGAATTTATTCCACCTTAGTTACAACACTGTAATTTCTTGTGCAGAAAATGTTCAAATTCACACCCACACCATGGCTGGCGAGAACTGCATTAGAGTGTAAGAATTCAATACAGAATGGAACATAACGTCATCGACAATAAAAAGTAATCCAAAAATTCTTAAAAATTATCTTATAAAAATATTTACATTAAAATTTGTTAGCTCTAAAGCTACATTTTTTCAGTCCTAAAAAAAGGCAATATTTGAAACAATCTGGCTCAGGTGCTCAGAATTAATACAAACATTAGACCACATATCCAGTAAGACAACTTCAAAAGCATTTTTAGGGGATATTACAAGGGGCTTGGCATGTGTTACAGATGTTAATATTGCATAGCTGAAAAACGAGGTCACTTGACTTGCATAATGCTGCAACGTTAGAGAAGGAAGGAAAGAAGCATCATTTCCTATTGATAAGAAATAGCTTTGGAGACTAAAACACAATTAGTGATCCCTGACCAACTATCAGGGTCCTAGCCATGTCCAGTATGCACATGGGGCTAGTGGTTTTCCTTAGGCCACGTGTATGTGTAAATGCCATTTTAGAATAGCAATAAGACACCAAAACCCACTGTCCTAAAGGATGAGTGCACCCCTTCAGTTGTTAAAGAGGCTCAACCTTTCATCTTGTGTATTACAGCCTCACGTGAGACGTTCTAGAGCTACTCAAAAACGCACTGCCATGGACTATGGAGTTAATTTAAAAATTACTTCATCTTATGTAGTATTGGACAGACTACCCAAAGCTGAAGTGTAACAGCTGGTGAGTAGCTATTTAGGGATGAACGCTGGTGGTTCGGACACATATGACAGGATCTCATTTGTTAGGGGTGAGGATGCCTCCTACAGTCTGAGCCAAAGCCTGCTGAAGTCCATGGGAAGACTTCCATCAACTTCAACGGCCTTTACATCAGACTCCTGGTGAGCAAGTTACAGAGCCAACACATAACAGTAAAGCATCAGCTGGAAGAACCATTATTTTTTTTACTAAAAAGAAAAGAGAGTACTTGTGGCACCTTAGAGACTAACCAATTTATTTGAGCATAAGCTTTCGTGAGCTACAGCTCTCTTCATCGGATGCATACTGTGGAAAGTGTAGAAGATCTTTTTATATACACACAAAGCATGAAAAAATACCTCCTCCCACCCCACTCTCCTGCTGGTAATAGCTTATCTAAAGTGATCACTCTCCTTACAATGTGTATGATAATCAAGGTGGGCCATTTTCAGCACAAATCCAGGGTTTAACAAGAACGTCGGGGGGGGGGGGGTAGGAAAAAACAAGGGGAAATAGGTTACCTTGCATAATGACTTAGCCACTCCCAGTCTCTATTCAAGCCTAAATTAATTGTATCCAATTTACAAATGAATTCCAATTCAACAGTTTCTCGCTGGAGTCTGGATTTGAAGTTTTTTTGTTGTAATACAGCAACTTTCATGTCTGTTCATGTCTATTCAGGGGACACCATCACAGGGCCTAATAACATCAGCCACACTATCAGAGGCTCGTTCACCTGCACATCCACCAATGTGATATATGCCATCATGTGCCAGCAATACCCCTCTGCCATGTACACTGGTCAAACTGGACAGTCTCTACGTAAAAGAATAAATGGACACAAAACAGATGTCAAGAATTATAACATTCATAAACCAGTCGGAGAACACTTCAATCTCTTTGGTCACGTGATTACAGACATGAAAGTTGCTATATTACAACAAAAAAACTTCAAATCCAGACTCCAGTGAGAAACTGTTGAATTGGAATTCATTTGCAAATTGGATACAATTAACTTAGGCTTGAATAGAGACTGGGAGTGGCTAAGTCATTATGCAAGGTAACCTATTTTCCCTTGTTTTTTCCTACCCCACCTCCCAGACGTTCTTGTTAAACCCTGGATTTGTGCTGGAAATGGCCCACCTTGATCATCATACACATTGTAAGGAGAGTGATCACTTTAGATAAGCTATTACCAGCAGGAGAGTGGGGTGGGAGGAGGTATTTTTTCATGCTTTGTGTGTATATAAAAAGATCTTCTACACTTTCCACAGTATGCATCCGATGAAGTGAGCTGTAGCTCACGAAAGCTTATGCTCAAATAAATTGGTTAGTCTCTAAGGCGCCACAAGTACTCCTTTTCTTTTTGCGAATACAGACTAACATGGTTGTTACTCTGAAGCCTGTCATTTTTTTTTTTTTTTTTACTAATTTCATTGATTTTGTTCAGATATATGGATTGTAGGGCGTGGAGTGACTGGTGGAGGAGGGTTTATGGGACGCTCTGCTTTCTTGACTTATTTCCAGAACCCCCTCACCTGACCCACAACACCCCAGCTCCCAATATCAATATCTTATGCAGTGTAGTTGTAGCCGTTGGGAAGATGTGCTAACTACTGATGCTAAACAAACTGTTCCACTTTGCATATAGCTCTGACACTCCGAGTACCTTTCCCAGACCTGAAGAGCTCGGTGAGGCTCAAAAGCATGTCTCTTTCACAAACAGAAGTTGGTCCAATAAATGGTATTACCTCACCCACCTTGTCTCTCTACTATCAGTATTGTCATTCCAGTGAACAGTTGACTCTTAGCTTTACAACACAGAATGAGTGAATGCTACTTCACATTCCCTAGAGAGGATCAAATGCACCGCTCATATGCCTATGCAGTGCTCCCACTGAAGTCAATGGCCCTGAGCCACAGGCATCCAGGTTAAAGGGACACTGTCAACTTGCAGTTTTAAAGTCTACTTGGGCTCGTCTACATGGAGACTTAGTGCACAACAAGACAGGGTGTAAATCTACAGTGCACTAGCTGGCCATGTGGACCCTGCTCCCATGCACTAGAAGTTCCTTAGTGCACTTTGATGACACAGCCAGTTAGCACATGGCAAGCTAGTGCAGTGTACTACCCCAGTTTGCCATGCACTAAATCTCCATGTAGACAAGCCCTGCATTTTAAAATATTCCAGTTCCTGATCAATCTCCGTTTAAAATCAGCACATCATGACTTATTTTTATATTCTTTAAAAACAATTGTAAAGGGTTTTTCTACTCCCCTGTTGATGTTTCTAAGAGCAAGGGAAACACTGAAAGCTTTTTGAGCAAGGAGATATTGAAGGCTTGTCTACATGGGAAAACTGACCGGCAGAATTATAGCGGTATAAATATTCCGACATAGCTGTAGTGGTATAACTCCCAAGGTGAATACTGTAATGCAAATAACTTCTTCAGTATAGCTTAAACTGCCTCCAAAGCAACATAAGCTATACTGACAGGTTTCAGAGTAGCAGCTGTGTTAGTCTGTATCCGCAAAAAGAACAGGAGTACTTGTGGCACCTTAGAGACTAACAAATTTATTAGAGCATAAGCGCTTTCGTGGGCTACAGTCCACTTCATGGGATGCATAGAATGGAACATATAGTAAGAAGATACATATATACATACAGATAAGTTGGAAAGTCACCATACAAACTGTGAGAGGCTAATTAGTTAAGATGAGCTATTATCAGCGGGAGAAAAAAACACTTTTGTAGTGATAATCCAGGTGGCCCATTTAGACAGTTGACAAGAAGCTGTCTGTCGCTTACAGACAGCCCCCCAACCTGAAGCAAATACTCTCCAGCAACCACACACCACACAACAGAATTACTAACCCAGGAACCTATCCTTGCAACAAAGCCCGTTGCCAACTGTGTCCACATATCTATTCAGGGGACACCGTCACAGGGCCTAATCACAGCAGCCACACTATTAGAGGCTCGTTCACCTGCACATCTACCAATGTGATATATGCCATCATGTGCCAGCAATGCTCCTCTGCCATGTACATTGGCCAAACCGGACAGTCTCTACGCAAAAGAATAAATGGACACAAATCTGACATCAGGAATCATAACATTCAAAAACCGATAGGAGAACACTTCAACCTCTCTGGCCACTCAGTAAAAGATTTAAGGGTGGCAATTTTGCAACAGAAAAGCTTCAAAAGCAGACTCCAACGAGAAACTGCTGAGCTTGAATTAATATGCAAACTAGATACCATTAACTTGGGTTTGAATAGAGACTGGGAGTGGCTGGGTCATTACACATATTGAATCTATTTCCTTAAGTTAAGTATCCTCAGACCTTCTTGTCAACTGTCTAAATGGGCCATCTTGATTTTCACTACAAGTGTTTTTTTCTCCTGCTGATAATAGCTCATCTTACCTAATTAGCCTCTCACAGTTTGTACAGCAACTTCCAACTTATCTGTATGTAGATATATATCTTCTTACTACATGTTCCATTCTATGCATCCCATGAAGTGGGCTGTAGCCCACAAAAGCTTATGCTCTAATAAATTTGTTAGTCTCTAAGGTGCCACAAGTACTCCTGTTCTTTTTTCTATAAGCTATACTGGAAAACATCACTTTTATTCTGGAATACAGTGAGTGGGTGGGTAAGGTTCTGTGGCCTGCAACGTTCTGTAAGGTTCTGTGGCCTGCAAGAGATCAGACCAGATGATCTTGATGGTCCCTTCTGACCAAGTCTCTGAGTCTACTTTGGAAGTTATACCGCTATAGCTATGCCAGAATAATACCACTGCTGTAATTCTGCAGGGCTATTTCCCCGTATAGGAAAGCTCTGACTGGCTCTATAAGGGAAAACAGTGAAACTGACCCTACCAAAAGTCCTGTAAAATGCACAAAGTTACATGAGGTGGGGGGGGTGGGGAGAGGAACTCAGAGGAAACCTTTTATTCGCCCCCTGTGCCCCCCAAACATCTTTCGGGACCCTTTTGTGTTACTTTTAACTACAGCAGATACCCAGAAGTGTGTCATGACTCCCAGCAGCAGGGTATGCTGGGAGTCACACACACAATTTGCAAGCCGATTCCATCCTTTTAAAGGGAAAACAAACTAGCATGAATTTGGTACAAGTGAGATTATTAAAAGTCACAACAGAGCCCAGCTTTCACTCTTTAAAATCCCTTTTTGGAAGGATCTTATAAAGGCTCCTGCTAGCTGCTTGGTATGGATGGAAGAAAGTATTTAACACAGAAAACACTTTAAAAAGGAGAACAATGACACTGAAGAATACGATTTCCCTCTTCTGGAAGCGTTAAGACACTGTAGGCATTTTATCTTGGTCTTTAATCACTTCTTGGGTGGTGGAAGATTATTTGGCTGGATACAGGCAAGATGTGTTAATGACTCAGTAAGACACATCCTTATGTTTAAATGCTCTGTTCCAAAATGGCCTTGAAATGCAGGACAGAGGTATGACTTTCTTCCTTGATTTTTTAGTTCGAACAGTACATGTTTTATGGGAGCAAAAAGCCCCTCCAGAGCAGCATGTTTCTGTAGGATTAACAACCTTTGGGTGGTGGGGTATTCACCTTTCTCTGGGCAAGCCACTGCCCAGCACATCCTATCCTGTATATAAAAGCAGCTATGTGACTAGCAAAACAATCATACAATGTACATCTCCAATCACATCATAAGTGTGCTAGGGATACATACAGTTGTCCAGTGACATATACACATGTTACTGAGACAGTATCAAACACAAGCCAGCACCCTGGTCCAGTATATTTCTGATGATCAGTGGTTAGAAGATTCCACTGTCAGTAGTAAATTCCAGGAGCAGTGAGTAAATAGCTTAACTCAAGATGTGTACAAAGTATCAGTAGTGAAGACATTCAGTATATTTGTTTTTACTCACAAGCCCTACAGTAGCATTTTGTTTCACACACGAAATTCAGTCTCTCCAGTATCAGTTTAAGCACAATGTTTATCCCAGGAAACCGCCTGTTCAGAGAGAATTGATTGCACCAAGGACAACAAGCAACACCTTGGGATTGGCACACTGCTGCACTATCCACAGAAGGGGAAGTTCTTAATGCAGCACTTGCCACACTAGGAGTTCAACAGCAATAAGATGGATTAGATCAGGTGCCAGGCATCTCCTCAAGAACACCCATTGAGATTCACTTCACTGCTGCTCCTTGCATTAGCTGGAGTAGGTGTCACAATGGTTTATGAATCACAGCCACACCTGTTGAGAGAATGGACAAACAGACCTCACATAAGCTTTGGAGCAACTGCTGGGTTGTGCTGTAACACACACATGCTGCAAAGACCAAGACCAGCAGCCAGGGCGTGCAAAGGAAGTTGGCGTCCCCAATTCTGTGAAGAAAGCCTCTCCAATGGAAGCCCTGAGGGGCATCAAAAGAAAAGACCAAGTGGCCAGGAGGCACAGTCCTCAGGTTAAGGGATACACACTCCTTGACCTGATAGGGGCAGCTGGGCACATATGTGGGAGCTGGCACATCCCGAGTTCTGTTCCCACCTCTTCCCCCGACTGTTTACCCGCATAACTTCTTCCAGTGCTCATATTGGTTGGCAGTAACGTCCATTTATCAGTGATGGGATTATAATACTCTACAGAGGCCAAATTGCAAGAACCATCATCTCCTCCAACCACATAGAGTAGCCCATTCACAGCACACACACCTACAAATAAAATGGACACGCTGTTAAACTCTAGATACTATATCCTACTACACCCCCCACCCTCCATCTTTTCTTCATTACAGGAGCCCCTGCATCCAAAGCCTTGCATTTTAACCGTGTTCGCACAGTACCATTAAATGCACCCACATGACCGAAGAAAGAAATGAAGATACAGACAGAACACAAACAAACAGTGGTTACCTGCATTTCTTCTACACATGTTCATGTCTGCAACTTGTTTCCAGGTATTTGTTCCTGGATCATAAACCTCCACACTCTTCCTCACCAAGGGACCATCATGCCCTCCAGTAGCATATAGCTGTCCACTGAGAACACCGACGCCTGCCAAGCAGAGAACAGAATTAGCCAGACCCGGACGGGACAGTGAAACTGACTCTACCTTTCACATCCTTAGCACCGCAAACTTAATAGGCCTGTCTAGTGTGCTAGGTTAGTCGTGTCCATAATGTGGACCACCGCTTCAGAAAGAGAGCAAGAAGGTGTCTGTCTCCTGGACACCTCCCTTCCCATTCGTGATTGTGGAACAGCACAATAGCAGCGACAACAGTTCAGTATAGGAGCAGTGACGGTGGGCAGGTATTTACTGCATATTTAGCTCTCTCCCTCATGTGCCTCTGCCTTTTTCAAATACAGGTTAATCACATGGTCTATTTTTTGCTCTTCATGTCTTCCCCTCTCTCCCAGCTGTTCTATTCCCCCAGCTGCTCTGCCTGCTGGTCTCCTCCACCTCCTTTGCACAGACCTTCCTGTACTTGGTTCTCTTCTTCCTCTTCCTCGCCCCAGGTACTGAGACCTCTTCTCTCCCTCTTCCTCCTGTGCATACTGCCTGGATGCTTCATTCTCTTCTCCCTTGAACCAGAGCCAGCATGTTGTGTAGGGCCCCCCCTACCCCACAAATATTCTTGCTTAGGGCCCCCAATGGGCTAGCACCGCCTCTGCCCTGGCTGGTGATTTGGTGGCTCCAGTCCTTGATAGCAGCTCATGGCTCTTTTCTTTTTACCTTAACATGCCCTGAATAGAGACAACTAAGATGGCTCCTTGTCTGCCACTGTGCTCACAGGCCCTCGGGCCTTGACCCTGTAAGGGAAGCGGGTGAACCGGCCTCGTGTGATCAGCCAGCAATATGCACTGTACCAGTGGCCACAGACTGAGGCTGGGAGACACTGTTTTAGCTGCCTTTGACAATCCATGTGAATTAGCACATCCAGCAACTTACTCTCAGCAGCAGGATCAAGACCAGTCAAAATGAACCAGCCAGAATGTTAATAAAACAAAGATGGATCCGAAAAGCACTATCCACAGGCTCCAGCCCTCATCTCTGCCCACCCTCCATGCCCTAGAGGTCAAGACATTCAGGTTGTTGGGGCAAGGGAAGGAGTTCTGAAGTCAAATGCCTCAGAGAGCTCCCTGCTAGCAAACCCCTCTCTTTCAAGCCAAGCAGGCCCCTGCTCAAGTGCCTCTAGTGAGTAGCAACTGTCGTATTGTGACATGGGGAGAGGAGCAGCTTTAGGCAAGCCGGTCCCATGGTATCACAGACCAAAACATCACCGTCTTAATCCACTGAACACCAATCAGCAGCAAGCTCAGATCCTAGAGCACGGCTGTAACGTGCCCCTCCCCCAGTGCCAGTTTCCAATGCAACTAAGCTGCAGCCCCCCCTTTACCTTACACCAGCGTTTCCCAAACTGTGTTCCGCAGAACACTGCTGTTCCGCACGATGTGAATAGGTGTTCCGTGAAAGAATCTAGAATTTAATTTGGACTCTTGCACTTGATTTTTGTACTACTTTATACGCGCTTTCCAGTTAGAAATTGTTAGTTCAAGTTATTTTGAATTTGTATTTTTGCTTTGTTTTATAAAATAAAATATATCTGAGCATAAATAAAGCAATTTTTTATTTGAAAACCAAAGAACTACAAAATAATATTCTAAGTGTTCTGTAATAGGCTAAAAAGTGTTCCATGGCCCAAAAAATTTGGGAAATGCTGCCTTAAACAATGGGCCTGCTGGTTTTTCTTGTGTTTCACCCCAACAACTTGCTCAGTTAGGTGCCTGATCCATATCCCATAGACATCAAGGGGACTACACTAGTCATTGCATTAGATTTAGGATGTGCTGCAGTAACTGATGGAAAAAAGCTAACAGCAGGAGAGAAATTAACCAGACTGTGAACATGAGTAACAAAAGGCAGATATGCTGTGCTGTCCCTGACTTACCAACATCATTTCTATCCTATCTGGCCTCAGTTTTAGCCAAGTGGGCCTCAGCCACATTTATACCCCAATCCCTACTACGCACCTGGGATGGTCTGGACCACCTCCAGCCGAGTCAAAAGAAAGCAACACAGATGGATGTCAGCAGCCAAACAAAACTGCCCCAGCCCGTGGCAACTCTCTATTACATACTGTATTTAACTTTTGCGCACTGGAGAAACAAGCCCATCAGCAATATTAGGCCAAATTCCAGGTTCAGTGGAGTAACTCTGGATTTGGCCCAGTGTGTGTGCGCTAATACTGTGATTATTGGGAGACCGTGGGAAATGGGCAGGAAACTTGTGTTACACTTGGGTATATCACACTGGAATTGCAACACTTTCGGAATCATTTTTTAAATAGTAAGTGCAGCCAAATGTTAAAATAGTTAGATTATTAGATTGGGAGAGGAAAAATAAAAAAAGTTAGAAATGTCCCATCCAGCCTAAAACGGCCTCTCCACCTGCAGTGCCTGTAGGATTCCATCTGCATCAATGCAGGGTATCTCAGATCCAAAGAGAGGACATCCTTTCCAGGAACGAATGGGATTCTTTTCTGTTGACCTAGTACACAGAAAGAGGCCTGCTGATGCACTGCCAGAATACATGTATTTTTTAGTCTGTACAGGGCCTGCAGCTAGCAATCAAAATTAAACTGCAACTATCCAGTATACAGGTTTCAGAGTAGCAGCCGTGTTAGTCTGTATTCGCAAAAAGAAAAGGAGTACTTGTGGCACCTTAGAGACTAACAAATTTATTTGAGCATGAGCTTTCGAGAGCTACACAAAGCTTATGCTCAAAATAAATTTGTTGGTCTCTAAGGTGCCACAAGTCCTCCTGTTCTTTTATCCAGTATACAGGAGCACTTGTTTCCCAAAGAACACTAGATGGCAGCATTGAGCCAATGATGCTGGAGGCACTGACCGTGGTTTTATTTATTGCAATAGTGTTATACTGATAGTCACTTTTTATTGCTCTAAGTAGTGAATTCCATTACTGGCATTTTCCCCTGAAAAGAGGAAAATTCACTGCCTGTTTTGGTAACTGCCATAATTTGCTGCACCTCATACCCAGTTGAGGAAAAGAAAATGAACAGCAGCATTTGCAGGCAATTGAGAGCATGTTCAGAATATTAGAGCGACTATATTCCTTCCTCTGTGTTTCGCATTAGAAGTATGTGTAAAGCAGGACTCCCAGCACAGTCAGTTTAATAAGGAAACGTCACCAAAAGCAGAGATTCATTATAACCAGAATTGCTATACGCAAGGAACGCCAATTGCACATCGCCATGGACTGACAGTGTGGGATATTCATTCTATTTCCCTATAAGACAGGGTGAGGCAGGTTCAATGGCCCTGCATAGAGACGGAAAGCTCTTTTGCTGACTCACCCTGATGTCAGATCAGGAGGGCCCCAAACTGGGAGCGTTAAAGGGTTGGCATGTCAGAGACAGAGGTAGTTAGAGGCAGGGGCAGAGAGAGATCCTGCAGAGAAGAGTGCTACAGCCAGTCAAGGAGAAAATTCTTACTGAGACTTATGCGTTATTATTTCAGCTAGTAATAAAGGCAAGCCTCGAGGAAAGGGTTGATTTGGGGCCCTAGTCAGTGTGTGTTTCTGGTGGTAGGAGCAGGGTGGGAACTTCACCTTCTTAAACACAGTTTCACTATGTTCACATTCAGCAAAAGTGAGTTTCCACTGTACGTGTTACACCATAATTATAAAACTTCTATAGCATCTTTCATCCACGGATACAAATTACTTACACAAGGAGGTTCAGCATTATCATCCCCATTCCAACAGACTAGGAAAATGCACTGATGAGTTTTGTGAGTAGCCTATAGCCACACTACGCTTCAGTAGCAGTCAAGAATGGAACACAAATCCCTTGTTCCCTGTCTTATTCTACAATCCTCTGGCCTGTCCACTCATTAAAAACTGGGTCGAGATGGAGCACTTGTTAAGATGGAATAAAGTGCTTTAACTTGGTTTTTAGGTCACTTGCTGCAGGTGAATTTTGATCTATGAAACACCTACTATATCTACAGTGACCTATGGAAATCAAGAGGAAGCCCACAGGACAAGAAATGAAGTGGTGGAAGGTGCAAGTGACGGTGTGTCAGAGCTTGGCTTTCTGGTCCCAGGGTGAGTTTGCAGGGCTGGCAATTAGAAAAGCTGTCTTTTTACCGCACGGACAAGGCAAGTTTGATATGGAAGCTACTCAGAGACAATAGACATGATGCCATTTCTCAGAGTCACTGTCCAAAGCAGAGATTAATTTTAATTTTGGGGGAGATTAACACAGTCAAGGGAGCAGTTGGAAGCTTCCATGTGATCACGACCCACACGAAAAAAGCTTCACTCCTCAGAACTGGCAGCCCAACAACGCAACTTCTTCAATTCCTCACCATGCAGTGACAGGGGATAAAAGCCGGACATGTGTGAATTAAATGCTTCCGAGAAGTGGGAAAAGGATTTATTTATTTATTTATAGGTGTCTCAGAATCGATACCTGCACCGCTGCGCCGAGTGCTCATATCAGCGACGTAGGTCCATTCATTTGTAGCTGGATTATACTGTTCTACGGTACTAAGGCACTGACGTGATGCTCCATCGTAACCTCCCACAGCATACAGCTTACCTGCAACAATCACGGCACAGACTAATCAGAGAGAAATGGGTGCATTTAATATCTGATCATCACAATAGGGTACATTATTATCAATCATTTGTAGACTACCATAGTGCCGAAAAATCCAATTGAGATTGGGGTGCCACTGGGTGAGTCTGTATCTCTTTCCAGGTGGGGGGGAGGGGGCACTCTACTGTACAAGTTAGAGCATATTTACAATTGATGTGCCCGTTTTTAAGCGGCGAACATGAACACTGTCTCCACAGGAAAATGCAGGAGGCTGGAATCCCGGAAGGCCAGAGTTCTAATCCAGCTCTACCACGTGATTCACTGCACCAGATTCAGAGGTAGTATGAAAACACAATCAGACCCTCAGACCCACTCACACCCAGTTTATGAGGTGTAAGGGACTCTAAACTGCTGCAGCTGATACACCCAGGAGAAGGTGTCCATTTAAAGCAGGCTTTCACCTGCTTTAACCTTACACATCCTTATATCCTCCCATTCAGTTGCTAGATTTTGTCTGTTACGTGCATTATGCTGATGTATACGCCCTTATATTCACTTAGCCAAACGCAGAGGTGATGCGTAAAAACAATATACTGCAAGCTATATATTGGTAAGTGGGCATGTATCTAACTGATTCAGAGGGAGACTAAGTTAGCGTAACATGCACTGTAAAGGGGGCAGAACTATGTGGAAGTGTCACCCATTTAGGACACAATCTCAGCCATGAATTTGGCCAATTATGTTGCCTTGGGAACAACATTCCAATTTCTCTGCTTTAGTAAAATGGAGCTAATATTTACCTCACAGTGGTCTTACATAGGAGTTAAATTACATTCACCTCAGTAGCACCTTCTGGTTTGAAAACAGTGCAATATTTAAGATGCCATGAAAGTGATAAACGTGGAATAACTTACTCCACTGCAACAGGCATCTGCATTGGCTACAGTTAAACACTAAATCCCTATTTTGAAGAATCCTGGCCAGTCGAAAGCGAGCTGATGTTGTAACTGCAGCCCAAGGCTGTCTGCTTCTTTGGACTGAGTGTATAGCATCATCTTGTTCCTGTTGTGCTGATGCATGCCAGGAGTCATGCGTACGATTGGTATCCCCAACAAACGAACGGAAAAAAAAAATGACGGGCATCTAACGAGGCTGTATCCCGGAGCACCATTGTCAACAAAATAATACTTAAATTCTACCCTCGGTCTTTGCCCAAAACCGTCCTGAGGTGAACGGGATTACAGTACTTACGTTCTGTGAGGGTACAACATGACCTTAAATGGGTCGCTCACCCCTTTGCTCTGTGACCCTCCTGCTGTCTGTTTTTACGATGTCTGGTCTTTTCCACCATCTTCTTTCCCTGATGGCTTTACAACTCCAAGAGGATGCAGGCTAATTTCCTTCACACAGTGTTACCACACACAGCGGGGGCCCGCCCATGAACCCTTACACACACAGCTCCACTGACTATGTGACCATGCACATGAGTAACTGCTAACTCATGCCAGAGAGAGGTTCACAAGAACCAGAACCAGCACCAGTCTTTTGTTCCTTCTATCCTGTTTCATACTAAGGAACACTGGAAACCTATGTCCTTCCAGAGGGTGACTCTGGTAGTGACTGTTAGTGGGGATTATTACATCTTTCTCAGTGCTGCTCCTGCTGCTCGGTAGTATCATCTGTGGGAAACGGCTGGAGTCTGGGGATTTATGGGTATTTTTAAGAGTGTGCCACAGGTGCCGAGAGCTTGCGAGATCATGCCCTTTTGTTTAGCGTACCGTACATTTCAATAAATAGATACTGTCTAATTTCACTTAAAACAACACCCTCCCATAAACCTTGCCAACTTTCTCCAATTTGCCATGTAAAGCATTTGATTCTCCTCTTCGTTTTAATCTCAACAGTACAGGGTATTGAGCTCACCCCATTACAGAGGGCCCCTGAAAAGCCCTTTGTACCAATTAAGTCTCAAATTAAGCACAACTGAAGTGTGGTGGGGGCCCATGCACCAGTCTGAACCTCGCCTAATATGAACACTAATAAGCCTGCCTACACTCAGGTCCTGGGCGACACGCTGCCTTTCTTCCTACTGGTGAAAATTGGCTGAAGTCAAAGTCAGTCCCATCACACTTCACTGGCAAGATCAGTTTCTTACACTTCCATACGTACAGGGGTAATTGCACTCCCCTGTTACTGTCTCTTTAGACATTTCATACACTTATTTGTGCAATCATGTCAACTCCACTGGTGTTTTAGGTCAACAAATCAAAGCAGGAAACATTTTGGTGCCGACTATGCTCTACCAAGGTAACGTTTGTTGGTTTGCATCAACTATTAGATATGGTCAGTAACTGTAGGCACCAGGCCAATTTTCATCATAGTCAGTCTCTGTGGCTAGAACTCTGGGGGTGTTGTTTAACTCTGGACCGTGGCTTAAGCCGTATATCAAATTTGTTGTTCGCTCCTGCTGATTTAAAACCTGTTCAGCTCCAAGACACTTGGCTATTTTTGCTCCAGCGGGTCTACACGTGCATTTGTTTTGCCTTGTTTAAAAGAAAAATCACCACAGCATTTCTTAAATCTCTGTTAAGCACTCGAACTGAATATGACCCATTTTGGCTTTTCATAGGTATCACTGTTTACTAAGCACATCATAAGCATATGAATATGCCAATAATTAAGGAAATTATTATTAAACTCCACAAGCAGTTAAGCAGATTTTAGCCGCTCTATCACTCCTTAAAGAGAAACGGACTTCAGTTCCTCTCCTCCTCCCTTTTTTAAAGAAAATTTCCAATCCATTCCCATTTACTGGCCAAACCAGCCCATTTGCAATCCCAGGAACTCAAGTTTGTAACATACTGGGGCTAACTCCACCAACCAATCACTACATACTGTACGGGAGACAGCTACAACCCGCTGCAATTAGGGCTACATAATAAAAACACTGCCACAAAGTTCCACAAAATGGAAAGAAATTCATATTCTAAAGTGATTGTTCCCCTGGATTCTAAGCAAGGTAAAATGAAATCAACCCATCTGGCACCAGACCTCAGGACTTTCATACTTACATGTTCATGCTGATGGCTGTTTCAACAATTGCAACTGCCCCTTATCCTTCCCTACCCCATCCCTGTGCTGGCATGGTACTGAAATTTGTTACTGTAAATTCCCCATTTACGCACAAAGCAGAATGGGCAACCCGACATGTGAGTCCGATGCAAACAACTGCAGAATCTTATGATTTTGTTGGTAGTATGCCACCCAGCTAAGGTGCCAGGATTTTAACTGTGCTTCAGCCTTCATTTTGGAGGGCAGATTTTTAAAGGTCTTCCTCTTGCGGTTGCCATTGTCTATCACAATGCTTGCTGATGACCACAACAGAACACCCTCACAGTGCCTTGTTTCACTGACCAGAGACGTCTCAGAATGTTATTCTCCCACCAAAAAAATGAGAATGCCCCACGCAAAGCAGGAGAGGTGGCCAGCTGCTGTTGGGCCCAGCATCAGTATCAAGATCCTGTGCCATGTAGCGCGGATGGCAAAACATACAATTTTCCCGCACAACAAAGAGACTATTCAAAGCTGCAGCAATTTAGTCACGTTAAAAAAAAAATCTTTACCAATCAACAAACATCTAGAATGCAGCTTTTAGAAACCGGCCTGGCTTGTTCTTGTGCTCATCTGCCAGCAGGTTACCTCAGGGAATGTTTGGAGAACAGCTCCTGCTCCTTCGCTGCAGGAACTCAGACTTTAACCACTTGTGTTTTCGTTTTAAATAGTAATATTCCAGTGACTGAAATGGCTGCTATTATTCTTACCTTCCACAACTCCAACTCCAACACTGCTTCTTCTTGTGTTCATGGGAGCCACAAAAAACCACTCATTGGTTTTATAGCTATAGGCCTCTACTGATGCCAGACCTAGTTAAAAAGAGGATACATAGATTAGCATTGTACTGTTCTCCCCCTTGGAGACACATCTCCACCGTGACCTGGACTAAAGTTTCCCAAGGTTCTCAATTCCCTCCCCACTCCCATGGCAGCTGCGCGGCCATTTTCCTGCTAGGCAAGGAAAAGCAGGTTGGTACTGGCCCATCAATGCTGCTCCTTCTGCAGCCAGGAAGATTGCTATTGAGCCTTACCAGATGACTCCCTGTCCTGAGGCTGCTGCCACTTCTAATGTGCTGGGAATAAGAGACTGGATCTGGGGCCTAGATCCTGAGCTCTTCAGCTGGAATAGTCCAACAGTGACTGTTCTTTCAAGCAGCATTAAAATCAGTCCAATGCAAAGATTTTAAAACCGCCCCTTTAAGCCCTCTGAGGTTTGCTCATCACAAGCTTGTCTACATTACAAAGCTATACCAGCACAAGCTAAGGTGTGAACTGAAACCACTATGCTTACACTGGGATAACAGCCAGGTGGGCATTCTTATTCTGATAAAAGAGTGCTTTGTTCTGGTTTGGCTTTTGTTACTTCGGCAAGGGTTTAAAAAGCCTCTCTTATTCCAGAATAAGTGTCCACACAGGGAGTTCCACCAATATAATTATATTACAATAACTAGGCCAGTATAACTGGTAAAACTCGCCTGTGCAGGCAAGCCCTTCGGGAAGGGCAGAGTTAGTTTTGCATCAACACCCAAAATCTGGATGCTTATCTGAACTTTCTGAAGCAAATGGGTCTCAGAAATACAGCTAGAAATACAGCAAAACCAGTCTCCTGCAGTAACTTCAGCACTTTCCCTTCCAGTCCTGGGCAGAACCTGGAAGCACTGAAGTGTGCAACACAGAAGGACAAGGAAGGGTGTGGGAGAAGTGACAAGCAAGTATTTCACCTTGACAAGTTCAGAGAAGGCTTTTGTTTAATCCAAACCCATTTCACCAATCTCCATTTAAAACAGTATGAAACAATGGTCAATCTGGGGTTTGAACTAGAGCTGACGAAATACTTCAGAACATTTTTGTATTAATGTTCATTCCAATTCTTAAATAAGGCTGCTCTGACTGCATTTTGTGATCACTTTCCATGTATGTTCTAAGTGAACAGTTTACTGGAAAGAAAATTTTCCTAAAAAGGAAATTTTTAGTGAATACTAGAGAATAGTTACAGAAAGATAATCGTGAGTCTTTACACCAGAAAACTGATTCTAAGAGAGAAGTTTTAATCTAATCCAATCAGGAAAGAAAACAAAACCATATGACCTCTGGCAAAACCAAACTAACCAAAACAGTTGAAGATTTCAAATGCAGTTATTTTCTATTCACAGCTCACCAGCATACTACAGCTCAAGAAATGTTTGCAGAGATCACGGCGGGCAGAATTTCAGAACAATTAATGCATTCAGGAAAGACGCAGAGTTTTTAGAAACAAACTATTTGCTCAGTTCTAGTTTGAGCCATTCAAGCACAACTGCAAAGTGAACGTAACTATTATTTCATGGCAAAAAAGAACCCAATAATAATACCGACACTTTCCAACAGTGAGATGCCTCTGAAACATGCACTTTAAAATATCCCCATAGTTCCCAATCCCATCTTCACTAACCAGATCTACTAGCAAATCAGGATTTTTGCTGCTCCTGGGGATTGTCACTTAAAGTGAATGTTAGTGAATCACTTGCCTTGCAATAGCAAGATCCCTACAAAAACCAAAGATGTTTGCTATGAAAACATTTCCTTTTAAAGCGTCAGATTCTTGTTGAATAAATTCTTACTTTCTAGAGGAAAAAAAAAAATAAACACAAGACATCAAAACACAAAGCTAAAAACATAGGTGTGGACAACTGGTTGGAACTAACTGCTGTTTTCTACCGTGAGGGAATTTGCCGTTCAAAGACTCCCTGTGAGGGACCTGGAAAACACAGAACTAGTACAATATCCATTTCATTTGGCTGCCTGGCTTTTGTGCAGTAACATACCAGTGCTTCCATCAAATCCGCCCACAGCATACAGGAGTTCATTCAGCACAGCCGCCCCCAAAGTGCTCCGTCGTTCCTGCATGCTGGCAATTGATGTCCACTGATCCTTCACACCGTCATACACGTCTACAGTTCGCACTCTCAGAGAGCCGTTAAACCCTCCAACAGCATAAACGTTGCCTGCCATAAACACCACACCTGTTAGAAGGGGAGAGAGACTTAAGACTCCGAGTTAGGTTTAGAGAGCCAACCGCACCTACAGGTTCCAACCGCACCTACAGGTAGCTTGGAAAAGAGATACAAATACCAACAGAGCCATCTGATGGTAACAGAGAAGGGAAGAATAGGACATTTGCAAATGTTTAGCATTTACTTGCTCTGTACAACCATCAGATCTGAATAAGAGAACGTACAGATTGTAGGGAAAATAACGCACATAACACAGAATACTAAACCAGGCCTCACCCAAGCTGGTCTGCAAGCTTGCCAATTCCAAGGTGGGTATGAGACCCAGATAATTTCAAGGTGCCTCAGAGAGGGGGAGTAAAGTATGGATCCGGAGAGCACCTCTGGATGCTGGATGGTAGGTCAGTCAGATCTCCAAGGAGGAACAAGTTTCAACTCCACATACCTCACCTCTGCTAGGAAAAATCCCTTCTCTTTCAAACTGCAAGTCCAGTGAATGATCTCTGTTCCCAGCTCTTTACTGGAAAGCCAACAGGGAAAGTTGGCTCCCACTGTGAAGCCAGGCCAGAGGAGATGGAAGGAATAGCATAGAGGAAGTAGTGGGGAGCGAGCTGGCTTTGTGCCCATTTAAGGGAGAGAAGCTTTCTCCTGGATCTTGGTGGGAGGCAGAGCTGTTGTCGGCTGGAAACAGAGAGGGGCTGAATACACTTCTGTCCCCTAAGGTATTTAGTGGGAAAGTGATGGAGGCTACTGGACATGTTCCATTTACCTGCTCTGCATCTCCGGGAGGGAAGCTCAGCTATCTGCTCCCACCGATCCTCCTCAAAATCGTAACACTCCACGCTCCGGATGGCTTTGGGCGCTTGCCCACCAACCACAATCATTATCTGGGAAGGAAAAACAAGAGAAGGGAAACCCTTAGGTCAAGGACTGTTTACACAGCAGGCTGCATCCTGCAAAATAAAAACCACAACCAGAACCTAGTAGAAGTGAGCTATATTGACAGCTGGGGGGCTGTCTATGTGGGGAGGAGGGTGATTTTTAAAGGCATAAAAGGGTTGGGCCCTTTGAGAATCTGTCCCTAGAGGACCTATACGCCCAGGAGTACAGCTTATTACATACTGTTTAGGGGGGAAACCTAAAAACAAAACAGGCTTTTGTGCTTATGCTGACCTCAATATACGCTAAAAGATTTCCCCCTCACCCAAGCTAGTCTGCAAGCAGTTTTTTGGCTTGCATCAGGGTGCTCCATCCCACCAATTATCATTCCCCAAGCAAACCAGCTGGGTCAGCAGAACTTCAACGGCCCCAAAGACTGCCCAAAGTTCTTTGAATTCTCCCTCTCTGGCAGATGAGATGTCCCCTTAAGAAATCTTGCTCTATGGTCAATCTCTATAGGGTTGCTGTGCCCTTTTCCTCACTCTAATGCAATACCTATGTTTTCAAATCACAAGTGATGGCTCTTGCTCAGCAGAGGACACAAAGCACCAGCATGGTTCTCATGGGACAGCTGGTGAGAAAAAGTGCTCTCTTTTGGTTGGACTAGATCTCTGGGATCCATGCCCACACGATAGGTTAAATACCACAGTTAAATACCACATCGAGGGGAACTATCACGTCCCTCGATCTGCTGGCAATGCCCCTACTTATACACCCCAAAATGCCATTGGCCTTCTTGGCAACAAGGGCACACTGTTGACTCATATCCAGCTTCTCGTCCACTGTCACCCCTAGGTCCTTCTCTGCAGAACTGCTGCCGAGCCATTCGGTCTCTAGTCTGTAGCGGTGCATGGGATTCTTCTGTCCTCAATGCAGGACTCTGCACTTGTCCTTGTTGAACCTCATCATATTTGTTTTGGCCCAATCCTCTAATTTGTCTAGGTCCCTCTGGATCCTATCCTTACCTCTCCTCCCAGTTTAGTGTCATCTGCAAACTTGCTGAGGGTGCAATCCACACCATCCTCCAGATCATTAATGAAGATATTGAACAAAACCGGCCCCAGGACTGACCCTTGGGGCACTCCGCTAGATACTGGCTGCCAAGTAGACATGGAGCCATTGATCACGACCCGTTGAGCCCGACAATCTAGCCAACTTTCTACCCACCTTGTAGTGCATCCATCCAGCCCATACTTCTTTAACTTGCTGACAAGAATACTGTGGGAGACCGTGTCAAAAGCTTTGCTAAAGTCGAGGAATAACATGTCCACTGCTTTCCCTTCATCCAGAGAACCAGTTATCTCATCATAGAAGGCAATTAGATTAGTCAGGCATGACTTTCCCTTGGTGAATCCATGCTGACTGTTCCTGATCACTTTCCTCTCATGTAAGTGCTTCAGGATTGATTCTTTGAGGACCTGCTCCATGATTTCTCCGGGGACTGAGGTGAGGCTGACCGGCCTGTAGTTCCCAGGATCCTCCTTCTTCCCTTTTTTAAAGATGGGCACTACATTAGCCTTTTTCCAGTCTTCCGGGACTTCCCCTGATTGCCATGAGTTTTCAAAGATAATGGCCAATGGCTCTGCAATCACATCCGCCAATTCCTTTAGCACTCTCGGATGCAACGCATCCGGCCCCATGGACTTGTGCACATCCAGTTTTTCTAAATAGTCCCGAACCACTTCTTCCTTCACAGAGGGCTGGTCACCTCCTCTCCATGCTGTGCTGCCCAGTGCAGTGCAGTGCAGTTAGTAGTATTGCAAAACTATCACTGAAAACAGCCTCTGTACCAGATGACTGGAAGGTAGCTAATGTAATGCTAATTTTTAGAAAGGGCTCCCTGAGGGGATCCTGGCAATTACAGGCCACTGAGCCTAGTGTCAGTGCTGGACAAATTGGCAGAATTATAGTAAAAGAAGAGAATGATCAGATACACAGGAAAACACAATTTGTGGGGGAAGAGTCAACATGGCTTTTGTAGAAGGAAGTCATGCATCACCAATCTGTCTGCATTCTCAGAGAGTCAACGAGCATGGGAATAAGGGTGATAAAGTCAAGATAGTGTACTTGGATTTTCAGAAAGCCTTGACAAAGTCCCTCACCAAAGGCTCTTATGGAAACTAGGTAGCCATGGGATAAAAGGGAAGGTCCTCTCCTGGATCAGTAGCTGGTTGAAAGATAAGAAACAAAGGGTATGAACAAAAAAAATGGACAGTTTTCACAATGGACAGAGGTGAACAGCAGGGTCCCCTAAGGATCTGTATGAAGACCTATGCTGTTCAACATATTTATTAATGATCTGGAAAGGAGATGAATAGAGAACTGGCAAAGTTTACAGACAACACAAAACTATTCAAGATAATTAAATTCAAAGCAGACTGTGAGGAGTTAGAGAGATTTCACAAAACTGGGTGACTGGGCAACAAAATGGTAGATGAAATTCAGCGTTGATAAGGGCAAAGTAATGCATGTTGGAAAACATAATCCCAACTATCCATATATAATGATGAGTTCTAAACTAGCTGTTACGAAAGAAAGATGTTGGAGTCACCATGGACAGTTCTGCTCAATGCACAGCAGCAGTCAAAAAGGTTAACAGTTCCTAATATATTGTTAGGAAAGGTATAACCCAAAAAAAAAAAAAGGACAAAATATCTTACTGCAACTGTATAAATCCATGATGCACCCACACCTTGAATACTAAGTCCAATTCTGGTCGTCCCATCTCAAAAAGGATATAGTGGAACTGGAAAACATTCAGAGAAGGGCAACAAAGATGACCAATGGTATGGAACAGCTTCCATAAGAGGACAGACTAAATATTAGTCTGTTCATTTTAGAAAAGAGACAACTAGGGGGATATCATAAAGGTCTATAAAATGATGAATAGTGGGGGGGAGGGGGGAATGAATAGAGAAGTGCGATTTACCTTTTCATACAATACACTAACCAGGGGTCACCCAATTAAATGAATAGGCAGCAGGTTTAATACAAACAAGAGGAAGAACTTTTTCCACACAACAAACCTGTGAAACTCATTGGCATGGGATGTTGTGAAGGCCAAAAGTATAACTGGATTCAAAAAAGAACTAAATTCATAGAGGATAGGTCCATCAATGGTTATTAGCCAAGATAGTCAGCGACTCAACCCCATGCTTGGGGCAACCTATCAGAAGCTTTGCCTATCAGAAGCTGGGAATGGAAGATGGCTGGATCACACCATAACTACCCAGTTCTGTACATTCCCTCTGAAGCTCTGATATGGCCTATTGTCAAAGACAGGATACTAGGCAAGATGGACCATGATCTGACCCAGTATGGCAGCTGTTATGTTTTTATGCAATAGGGATTTCCCCATGGACTCTCCCTCAAAACCTTTCCCACTGCAGCAGAAGAGTTCTAAAGAGACGCAGAGATTCAAGGAAATCCCCCATTCCCACCCTGCCAAGGCAATGGAAATCACTGGCCTTTAAGGGAGAAAATACATATTTGAAGGCTAATCTGACGTACTCCTGGCTAGACATCCTGCCTCCCAGGACTGTCTTACGGGAATTTTCTCAAATGACCTCTGAAGATTCTTCTTCTAAGTTTATCCCCCGTTTTGTAACTTAGCCCCCAGCCATGGAAGCCCTGCTTAATTCAGCAGCCCATCACCCCATTTATTTATTGCCCATGTGCCTTGTCACATTTACCTGTGTAACGCATAAATCAGCGTAGCATTTCTCATCCCACCACAGACCCGCACAATGTGCCAGTGCTCTAAGTGGAGAAGACCTCAGTGTCGTTTCAGTGGTCAGACCACCGCGTATTTGCTGTTTTCATAGTTATGCTGACAAATACTGATGCTGATAAATAAGTGAAGCACTCCAGGTGGACCACCACCCATGATGGAAACTACTCCCCCAGAAAGCACCATGTCTGTGTAAGGGATTAGAGTGTTACAGGGATTCTCAGACTTCATTGCACCGTGATCCCCTTCTGACACCAAAAATTACTACACGACCCCAGGAGGGGGGACCGAAGCCTGAGCCCGCCCGAGCACCATGGCCCAGGATCGGGGGCCAAAGCCCAAGTCTCACCATCCTGTGCGGGGGTGGGGAACTGAAGCCCCAGGGCTTCAGCCCCAGCAGGGGGCCTGTAACCTAAGCCCTGCCACCCAGGGCTGAAGCCCTCAGGTTTCGGCCCCAGGCAATGGGGCTCAGGCTTCAGCTTCGGCCCTGGGCCCCAGCAAGTCTAAGCCAGCCCTGGCGACCTCACTAAAATGGGGTCTTGACCCACTTTGGGGTCCCGACCCACAGTTTGAGAACTGCTGGAGTAGTAGGTCTGGCTGTGGATCGCACAGGGGGGTCCTTGTCAGCTTCCTAAGGTCTCTGATGCAACATGTGCACTGAAACAAATCCAGTGCATTTTAAGTCTAAATTGCTTAGATCTTAGTAAACTTTATCTTGATCAACAGGAAAAAAAAAATCAAATCCCAGTGCATTTTCTGAAGCCCCCAATCGACACATTTCTGGCCCGTGACTGTTGGTTTGGGAACGCAGGAACATTCCCGATGAGAGCTCAGCTGTTGATGGCTGCCCATAGCAACCAAGCTGCAACGGAACCCCAGCAGATTTTTGAAACGGTCACTGGCTCCTTCACTGAGAAAGCAGCTTGATTTGTGCACTGCTCCGAAGACATTACTTCTTATTCTCTACAGCTATCGAGAATGAGATTCACTCCTCTTATCACAACACAGCACGCCAGCAGGAGCGAGCATTACACAAGACGAGCGTATTTTTAGAAGGCTGAGGAGCTGGCACCAAGATAATTAGCCTCGGAACAGATCAACAGCGTGACGGGGGGGGAAATAAAACCGCGATCTCTTGTTTCTGAGAAAAAAGAATGTAGCCTAGTATGTAAAGGTCCTGAGTTCAAGTCCCAGACGGTTGGAGTGGAATGGGATGATTAGATAACAGTCTAGAAGCATTTACAGGGCATAAAAAACAGGGAAAGAGACCTCTGTATAACTGTTTAATGTAGAAGCAATAGCATGAAATTGAGGTGACAAGGTAAAAAAAGTTATCAGGAAACATTTCCTAACAAGGGTGACCTCCTAATTGTGGACTAGCCTCCCAAGGAAAAGAGAGGAAAGCCACGGAGCTTAAGACATTTAAAATGAGGAGTTGACAAAGCAGTGGAGATTATACAGCAGGAAACAATCCCACATTGGTAGGAGCAATAGACAAGACCATATAGCTTCTCAATGAGGAAGGTCCAGCAGGAGGAACTTCCCTCCCTTTCTTTTCAGCTAGATGGAAGGCAGAGCTGGGGGACCCGGCTAGTAGGTTTTTCTTTCATACTTTGGGGTCATGGTATAGAAAATGTTGAGAACCTCTGAACTTATTGACCTCAAATCTTTTCCACCTCTCGTTTCTCCAGTTCCATGATTCCAGCACACGGTCCGTAAAGGGCAAAGACACATTCACCATGACAACCCCAAAGGTAGATTCTGTAGATTAATTCCTATTAAGAACCACAATATGTAGGCAAATACGATGCATGCACTACAGAACTGCAAATTAACAGTATCCAGCAAATCAGCATTTGAATACCGCCTCCTGAGATAAAACTGGTACAAAGCCTCACAAAATCTAGCTTCCTATTGTTTATAAGTGGAGGAATAGGCACGTGATTTGACATCTTACAGCCTGAAATTCTCATTAAGAATTTCAGTGACAGTTTTCTGTGCAAGCCGCCTCTATGCTTTGGGGATGGGGTAGCGTTTTTCTCACTAATGCACATGGATGCAGAGCAGTGCACAGCTCCCGTATCAATATAGGGAATCTCGGAGTTATTTTTTCTTGTGCCACATCTATTCTCAGTCGCTGTTCAGAATCTGCCATGAGCCAGTTTTCAGATAAGGTTGGTTGGAGTTTTTTTTGCTGTATCAGGCTCTGCCTCCAACATGCAGATGAACTAATGCGAGCTAAAAGCACCATAGCCCTCTCCAACCGCACAATATCCAAGCTGCTTCACTCAGCAGAAATCTCGGCCAACCCTCTGAGCACTGTAAACCCCTGCCTACCCCACGGACCCGCGGTTCTCAACTGTAGTCCCGAGGCCACCAGTAGCCCCCACAACACTGCTGGTGGTCCAGAATGAAATATTTTGAGAACCAAACAGTGGGAAATTCGAACATCGGAACTGCCATATTGGATCAGACCCATCTACTCCAGTATCATGTCCCTGATACTAAGGAGAGTACCGCAGGAGGGTGCAGTAAACCCCTGTACTAGACTACTATGGAATTACTTGCCCATAAAGGAAGTAACCCTCATCAGTTAGCGACTGGCTCATGCTCCAATGCAGGTGGTTTTATAGCTCTTCTAAAAAAACCCAAAAACCAGCTAGCCTACCTAATGGAAATGCTGCTACTGCTGTCATTACACATGTGAGTGTCTAACCCTATTTTTAAATGGTCAGTTCAACTAGTTTCCGTCCTACTGAAACTGAGCTCACTTGTCTGCACTTCCCAGGAGAAATGCTCATGCTATTTCTGAAGACAGGATGAATATTTGTTACCCTCCAGGCTTCTAGGATAGTAGCCAATTTTAAGGAGACTGAGGCAGATTCTTGACCCTGTTCTGCTCAGGCAGCACAAAAAGGATCAGAGACTAGCCACAAATCTTCTGGTGGGCATTCCCCTGGCATGGGGGAATTTCCAGGATGTGTGCTATTGTCAGGCTGCCTTCAGCAGGCTTTGGGTCAGGCCCTATCAGAGCCACTGAAACGCAACAGAATTAGGAATCAATCAAATGAAATCTAGTAAGAGAACAAGCTCTAGCCATTCAAAGGTGAAAGATGCCTCTAATGACGCAATATCAAAGCCAATAAAAAAAAAAAGACCTACATTTTCCCTTCTAAGTTTCTCTATTTTGGAAGAGAATTTATCTTACCTTTGGCAGGCTAACTGGAGTCCTTGGTTTTGTTCTAGGATTCTTTATCAATTGCCTTTGATCCAGAGGAAGCAAGTGATATTTCATGGCCTCAATAAGGAAGTCTTTACACGTGTTGTTATTCTTGATTAAAGCTTCTTCTTCAACTGTCTGGGAATGCCAATAAAGATTATTTGAATGGATGTATTTCACTAGGGAGTTTTCAGAGAAAATATAGGGAAAAGATTGGGATTTTTTTTTAAAAGTACCACAGTGAGAAAGATAGAATAGCTGCAACATCAGTAGGCAGTATTCTGAGTCTTCAGTAAGGACCTGCTAAGGCACACAATATTTACTTCCAAGTTTGCTCTCTTTCTTACCAGATCTTTAAAGATCCATTTATGCAGGTCTATCTGTTCTGAAGTCATAACTGCATCCAGACAATGAGGGCTGCTTTCATCCTCATATTGGAAACTAAATCCTTTCTGCAGAAAGGCACGGATTTTCCTGAAGGGACAGGAATCACTTTGCACCCAGTTCAAACATGAGGATTGGCATTTTACACCAATAGTGCAGCTTCTGGCTGGGGAAAGTGGAGTCCTGCACCCTGACCATCACTTACATCACGCCCAAACAGTTGAGCTGTATACAGAGGGAGGCTTGGGGGATAGTGAGGGTGGGGAGGCTTTAGCTGGTTTTATGTCAAAAGCCTAACACATAGCAACTACAACTTGTATTACTGTTGCCCCTTCTCCCAACACCTGTGTCCTGTTCTGACACCAGCCCTCCCTCTCTGCCAAGCAGTAGCAGACTTCTGGGGCCTTGCAGGTCAGCTTCTCAGTAAAGGAGAAATCAGTGGTGGAGAGTCTGGCTCTATTCTAAGTTTAACTTATTTATACAGATACACCAATCCTGGTACAGAGATGGTCCAACAGCATGCAGGCTGATCTTTTCTTTCAGGAAATTCAGCCCAACACCAGTGCTTAATAGCTCTGATTGAAGTAGCATGCTAAAAATAGAGAATAGCCATGGTGACAAGAGGTGGGAAGTGCTAGCTGCCTATGTACGTGCCTATGGTGTTGGACAGGTACATACTTGAGGCAGCTAGCCCCTTCCACCACGGCTAAACTATTTTTAGCATGTTAGTTCCATCAGAGCTACCATGGCTATGTCTCCTTGAGCGGGGAATCACGTCCCCAGCTTGAAGTGCAGATATAAACCTAAGAAAAAATATTCTGAAGTGCAGACATAACACCTAATGGATTCTGTATGGTCTTGAACTATATATATTCCCAAAAGCCTCCATCTGGATTATGCAGGAATCCCATGTGCATGGCTCAGCTTCAGAATCAGGCCCTTAATTTAACCAGCTATAAAAACAGGTAAGTGGATGCCTTTTTAAAAAAAAATACATATTTCCACATTTGTGGCAGTTTTAGGGTGCACATCACTGCCTTTTGCACTGCTGAGTAGAATACAGAACACATTCAGGGAGAAAAAGGTTTTTCAGTCCTTGAATTATATTTAGATCCCACTCAGTTTGAAGGCACACTGTAAAATATTGACTCTGGTCTTCGGCCCACCGACTAAGATAAATGCCAAACCACCCACAACAGAAGCACTCGAACAATCAAGTACATAGGCTAAGGATCTACACTCAGTTTTAATGTGAGGATTTTTTTTTTAAATGTACTAACCTGTACAAGATAATCTCTGGGCAAAAGGGGCAGACGAACATGCTCCATTAGTTTAGCCATGTGTTCTAAGCGAGACTCTTTCTCATAATTTATCCAAGATATAACAGCTTCAAAGACCTACACAGAGAGAGTACAATTAACTATAGAAAAGAGAACGTGCCTTCTCAGTAATCATCAAAGCCAGGGGCTTAGTGATGTAAGCATCAGGTTTGCAGTATCTAAAGAAATAAATAAAAGATGCACCAGGGATAAGAGCTCTAGCAGGTAATAATGCAGAAAGACAGATAAAGATGCACAATGCTGCATATATGCAGAGCACAAACATTTCCCCAAGCTTTGGTCATGTGTGTCAAGAGAACAGGGCTGCACACTTTGATAAATCCTCTGTTTCATCATTAGATGATCAATGACATTCTCAAAGCGAAGCAGGTCACCCAGACCAGCACGCACCTCTGTTACGTTAGGTTTTGGAATGAAGACAAAATGTAATTAGTCTTTCAGCATTCATGCTGGGCATTATTCGTAAAAACAACACACAAGGATTTATTATTTGTAATACGCGAAAGATCAGGCAGATCAGCTTCACACATGTTTTGGGATCACATGCTAATTCGGTGCTTAAAATCAGATTTAAATCCCTTCATCACCTCCTTCCAAAACTTGAAAACAACTATGGAAAATGCTCACAACATGTGCAGTGAAATTCCTAATATTTTGACACTTGTTCCAGTTCTTAAATTTCACCCTCCTCTGATAGCTGAAACAAGGCAGCGCAGCTAAATATATCCAAACACCACCAAAAAAAAAAAACCTGTGCTTCCAGGAGGGAAAGAAGGGGCTGTTGGAAATTTGGTGAAGAAGCCTGGTCTGAGCACAATTCCAGCTTCATTTCCAGATCAAACAGGTTCAGATCTGCGGCCAAACTTTCGGCCCAGAACAAACTGTAAATAGACAGACACTTTGTATAGTAGTAGCTGCAGTGGAGAGTACGCCACAGAACACACACACGCAGAATCCTGGAAGAATATGCATGCTGTGATGTATTAAAAAAATAAAAATAACTCAACTGATGGGTAGAGAGTGGTGTTTGGTGAAGTATCTAAGAGCACTTCATTCTGCCCATATTGTTCAACATTTGGTTAACAAAGACCAGTTAGTAAAGGCCCATCCACAAAGGAGTTGAAACCACAACAGCTACAATCCTAGTGTAGACAGGGACTAAAGACCTATCAAGAAATGTAAAAGGCATTCCAGAGAAAACCTGCAGAGTAGGGAAAGGGGGCAGGGCAATTGGAGATATTATGTAATACAATCTAGATCCTTGCAACAGGATGACTGACAGACAATTCCCATGTTCCCACTGAGCCAGAATTGTGAAATTTGGCACTTATTCACTGTGGGCCTCTACGTACATGTGAAATATCCCAGTGCTGACCTTTGCCCTTCCCATCAATGGTTACCAAAATATCCTCACTCTCTCTAAGAGATTTCAAGTGTATCCCTTACATCTAGCATCTTGGAGTCTGGCATATTCACTCAGAGTTATGAGTACATGCCTTCCAGTTTTGACCTTTCCAGGCAGTCACCAAATCATCAGTCCCACAATTTACAAGTATCTTAGTTTCTTCTGGGAGGCAGCCACGTTAAGTACAAGGCCTCCAGTTTGGAGAAATTAAAGTCATGTGATGGCACCAGTTCTACTGGTCATAGTTTAGTCCAAAATAGTTGATGGCTATCTCAAGACATCCAAAATAAGATCAAAGAACACTGCTGGGTTGTGTGGAGGAAGTTTATACTGATGCTATCCGTGCTATACCTACTCTGTGGATAAACGGGAAAATTCATACTCACAAGGTGTACCTCTGGTACCTTCCAACAGCACCTAATTCAATTTTTAACAGAGGAAAAATCTTAGTCCAAAACCCCAACTTCTTTTATTTCAAAAGTTGTGTCAGTTTCCACGTTTCCACTGTTCTGCAGAATTATAATTGTTACCAGGTTCCGATCAGTTTTTGTATTTCAGTGCACGACTCTACTCACCATCCAGAGCATTTCACAGCTGACCCAACAGAATCTGAATGGCCATGACCCTTCCACTGTTTGCAACACCCCTGTGACTTTGAGAGAGCACTTTCCAGCTACACACCCAGAGAACCTGGATGTGAGAAAGCCAATCTTTTCCATTCAGTTCAGTGAGAGCCACCTACCCAAACCAAGGTGCTGCTCTCGAGTTCAGGAGAAGGGGAGCTCTGACTTGCTGAGTAACAAACAAAGTGTAGGAAGAGACTGGGACTGCCTGAAAAGCTTTTATACAAGTTTGGAATATCCCCTCTGTGCACACTGCCCGAGAGAAGACAGAGTGAGCCTTCGTGTTTTCCCATACAGAAATCTCTGATGGCCCCAGATTCTGAGGAGTTCTGCACCAGCTTCCGTAGCGTGGCATGGGGTGCAGGTCCATTGAGGATTGGGCTCAAAGCCCTGGGTTATATTTATTAGGTTTAAGTGATGGATCAATAAGCAAATTTTAGCCCGAGATGTAGGAGATTTGGGTTCAATCCCCTGTTCTGTCACAGACTCCCTCTGGGTCTGGCTACACAGAACTTTGGCGTGAGTGAGCAGGCTTCCCAGCCCAGGTCTAGGGATGGGGGCAGGCTTCAGGATCCAAGCGCTAGCATGAGCCACAACATCAAAGCCCTGTCCATACAGCTATTTTTAGAGCACTGGCGCGAGCCTTGCTAACCCGAGTCAGCCCGCCCAGGCTGGGAGACCCGCTCCCACTTGCTCCAAAATGCTGTGTAGACGTACCGTGTGTGACCTTAGTCTCTGCCTCAGTCCTCCCCACTCTGTAAATTGGGGATAAGAGCACTTCCCTAACTCGCATGGGTGTTGTAAGGATCAATACATTAAACACTGGTAGGCATGCAGAAATGGGGGGCTGGGTTACCACTTCTGCAGATTACTGCTAAATTCCAGTTTCATACACGGTTAGCTCCTAGTTTTTATATGTCTGAACAAGCTTGATTTTATAAAAAAACGGTCCCTCTTTCTATGTCTGATGTCTGCAGTTAAAGCAGCAATGAAGTAAGGAGGGAGAGATGCACCCAGGTACAGCAGAGGTACTAAGAGGACAACCCTTCAAGCTGACCACATGTATACAAACAAGACAGATAACTTGGTGACAGGAATATTCCAAAAGCAATGCCTCCCAATGCCCTGTTACAGTTTGGGCCTACAGGTATCTGACTATAACGTGTCCATCTATTCTGGAAGATGGAATGTACTGGTTCATTAGTTCCGTTATACACACAAGACACATCAAGAATAGGCATTTCTATTTATTTCTTTATCCACGAAGAGTTTAGCCTACTTTAAAAGTGAGCACTTCTCAAAATCTGGTTATGACAATTTAGCCCTATGCCGTTTTAAACATTTGTCTACTTACTCCATCAAATTATTTTTTAAAATAATCAGCTACACCGGGGTTCTCAAACTGGGGGTCGGGACCCCTCAGAGGATCGCGAGGTTATTACATGGGGGGTCACGAGCTGTCAGCCTCCACTCCAAACCCCACTTGGCCTCCAGCATTTCTAATGGTATTAAATATATTAAGAAGTGTTTTTAATTTATAAGGGGGGATCGCACTCAGATGCTTGCTATGTGAAAGGGGTCACCAGTACAAAAGTCTGAGAACCACTGCGCTACACAATGAGAACATCGGAAGAGATGAATATGTAAGGTCAGAGAAATTTTACTGCCTATAATACCGATGTTTACATGAGCTATTGAACTATTCTATCAATATGACCTGAATATTTGGAATTTTCTTTGGATGCCAGAACATATCCTGCGTGTCTACATTCTTTTTGCATCTCTAGCCTGTTATTAATTTCTGTCGTTTTGAATGTGTGGCTTCAGCTTACATTTTCTTTTACAGTCTTGCACGCTTACTTCAAAACCTACCAAAAAAATTATGTTTTCAACTGTATGAAGTCCAGAAGAGAAGAGTGGAAGCTCGGCTTTCCATATCGTGGGAACACGGACAGTAAAGGCTATTTATTAACACAACAGATGTGTCAACACAGCAGTGCAAAGAGCTAGTAAAACCCTGTGCAAGCTGCTCTACACAAGCAGAGCAAATTTGTGGCAAAATCATACGTACAGGATGAGAGTTTGCTTTTCCCTTTTATCTTTCTGATGACAAATTCATTACACATCTATAGCTCAGATTTTGCATGTGAGTGAGCTAGGATGACCAGTGTCTGATTTTCAACCGAAACACCGGGTCGAAAAGGGACTCTGGTGGCTCCAGTCCCATTAAAGGTCCGGTCGGCAGTGCTGTGGTACTAAGGCAGGTCCCTACCTGTCCTGGCACCGTGCTGTGCCCTGGAAGCAGCCAATGGGAGCTGGGGGCAGGGTGTCTGCAGCAGGTGAGAGAAGCATGCAGAGCCTCCCCCCCCCCCCCGCCTACTAGTGTCAGATCTGCTGGCTGCTTCTGGGGCGTGCGCAACGCAGTGTCAGGACACGCTGACCGGGAGCCACCCGAGGTAAGCCCTGCCCCGCTGAGCCAAGAGCCCTTATCCCCCCCAGCATCCCAACCCAGCCCAGAGCCCCCTCCTACACCCTGAACCCCTCATCCCTGGCCTCACCCGAGCCCTCACCCCCCTCCTGCATCAACCCACAGCCTCCTCCCACACTCCAAATCCCTGGGCTCCATCTCCCAGGCTGGAGTCCTCTCCTGCACCTCAAACCCCTCATCCCCAGCCCCACCCTGGAGCCCGCACCCCTTCACGCACCCCAAGCCCTTGCCCCAGCCCAGTGAAAGTGAGTGAGGGTAGGGGAGAGTGAGCCACCAAGGGAGGGGGAATATAGTGAGTGGGGGCAGGGCCTTGGGGAAGAGGCAGAGCTAGGGTGTTCGGTTTTGTGCCATTAAAAGGTTGGCAACCCTAGAGTGAGCTGGTCATGTCAGTGTGATAAATTACAATATCATGTTCTGGTGACAATCAATCTATCATTTTCGGTGCTTATCTGGCCCCTATTTCCATAAAATCTGAGCACTTCACAATCTGTGTGATGTCTTCATCCCCACAACCCCCCTTTGAGGCAGGGCAGTGCTATTCTCCCCATTGTAATTGTACACATGTGGAACTGAGGCACACAGGCTACGTGACTTGCTCAAAGTGAAACAGGAAAACTTGAGGTGGAGGGAGTAATTGAACCCACCTCTCCCAAATCCCAGGCTAGTTCCCTAACCACTGGGCCATCCTTCCCTCCAGCTATTTCATCTGCCTTGACCAATAAGTAGGGCCATACCAAATTCACAGCCATGAAAAACATGTCCCAGACCGTGAAATCTGGTCTTTTATGTGCCTTTATCCCATACTATACAGATTTCATGGGGAGACCAGCGTTTCTCAAATTGGGGATCCTGACCCAAAAGGGAGATGCTGGGGGTTGGCAAGGTTATTTTAGGGGTTTGCAGTATTGCCACCCTTATTTCTGCGCTGCCTTCAAAGCTGGGTGGCTGGAGAGCAGTGGCTGGGGGCCAGGCGCCCAGCTCTGAAGGCGGCGCCCCGTCAGCAGCAGTGCAGAAGTAAGGGTAGCAGTACTGCTAATCCCCCTTCAATAACCTTGCGACCCCCCCCCACACACACACACACAACACAACTCCTTTTTGGGTCAGGACCCCTACAATTACAACACCTTTAAATTTCAGGTGTAAGTAGCTGAAATCATGAAATTTATGATTTTTTAAAATCCTATGACCAAGAAATTGACCAAAATGGTCAGTGAATTTGGTAGGACCTTACCAATAGGGTACGGTGCCTGACATGCCAAACTTCCAAATGGCACCAGCCACCATTATTTTTCTTTTAAAACAAAAGAAAACCCTGCCAGAAAAAAGCATTTCCTTATTTCCTCCTAATAGTGGACCTCTCCTCCCCGAATTACCCAGTTCTGAATTGCAGAACATGCAACCTCCCATCCAGGACCAGGGAAAGGCCTAAGGTCAGATATCTCATGATGTTTTGGGTTTAGAAGACGAGCTTTATATCTGTGGAAGACAGAGATTCCTGTTTTCCAAAGAGAAACAGAATTTCCTTCTTACCCTGGGAGGAGATGGATAAAACGCTTTTTATAGTCAAGACTTTATGTAGAGAAAATTGTGATAGAACATGTTGATGGAGTTCTAGAATTTTTATTAGTTATAAATTTTCTCTCCTTTTGAGACGTGGTGCACTATTGGAAAAAGGACTCAAAGACAGCATAACATGAGACCAGTTACCAATAAAATTGCTAAAAACTCAAAACATTCCCGAACAGATTCTCTATTACTACATAACTTACTGTACCTTTTCTTCTGAAGACACAGTGAGCTTGTCACTTGAAATTAAACTGCAAACCTGGTCCAGACTAAGGCTAAGAAATTCTTCCCCTAGCATCACCTCGGGAAAGTGCTGCTCTGTTCAAAAAATCAAAGGTTGGAAAGGAAAATTATAATGAAATCCATGCTTTCAGTCAACAGAAGGACTACAGTGTTCAGAGAATTGTTACTATTACAGCAATGGCCCAAAACAAATATGATTACACTCAAATCAAAATGCTGTATAGACTAGAAAATATTCTCAGAGCAGGTTAAAGCAACCTGATGTTATTTGAAATGCTGCCCCAGAGATTCATTCACTAATTGCAATAAATCATAAAATGGCACAAACAAAACTCTGTAGTGTTGCTAAGTATTTTTCTTCAATGGCAAGTATAATTGCCAATGGCAATTCAGAAAGAGGAGCTCGTTTCCCGACCAATAGATAACCTGCAACCATGCCACCTCTGGATGTGACCCTTGTCTGCTCTCGCAAGCTAAGCGGCATTAGATTTGTTCTGTACTTGGATGAGACACCCCCAGAAGAAAACCACACGGTGAGGCAGGAAGTGGTGCTGGCGAGTCAGTAGGTGAGACTTAGAGTCACTAAGGCCAGCACTGTTCTAAGGAATGCTGTGTTGGTAGCTTTCAGAGATGTTCAATGGAGGCTCTGAACGTTGCCAGTTATTAAACCAAAAAACCCTGACACTGACTTGAATCATTTCAACAAGACTGGCACAGTCAGCATTGTTGTGTATAACCCAGCGGCGGTCTGACAGCCACACGGGAAGTGAAGAATTACACAGAATTACACTGCTGAAATTTCAGGCAGTTTGGGGTGATTAAATAGAGCATGGAGAGTCATCAGCCTCCCATCTCCACTCCTAGGCCTTCCATAACCTCCAACCCATCAATATCCCAGGCATCTCAACAGCTGTCAGCCACACTCCACCCTGACCCCTCTCTTGTGCCACCCACACCCTGTTTCACTAACCCCTACTCCCCTCCCCCAAATCCTGTCTGACATCTAATACTTGCATCTTCCTCTCCTGCTCCAGCAAGCCAAATGCCCAGGGTCAAAATCACTCCTAACAGTAACTCCAGTCTGTCGGCTGGTCTCTACCTCCACCACCTTTCCTGACCACTGACCTCCCCTGTCCCTGCCCTCACCCCCATCACTCTCTTCCGCCTACTTAACCTTTTACTGTCCTCAGGCTCCGTCATCACAAAGTATAAACCTAGTCTCCCCCATCCTCAAAATTCTGACTACAGACCCCACCAACTACCTATCCCTCTACCTACCCCACCCCTTCCTCTAAACTCATAGGATCCACCCTGGCCTAAGTCCCTTTCCACCATCTCCAACCCCCTCCATTCTGACTTTGAGAGGCACTGTATAAAAATACTAAAATATTTGTGTGTCACAAATAATCAAACAGGGAGCAATCTCCCTGGCAGTAACACAGTTCTGAAAGAGCTCTTCAGATCTGACAGTGCTTTCCATTACATATTAAAGCTTAACGAAGGGCACAGGTCCATATAATTAAGTAATTAGACATTTGTTGTCTAAAAAGACTGAGATCTGTTTACAGACACTTTTATTGCTAGACAAATATCCGTACTACTGCAAACTGGCTCTGTTTTATACAGCCCAATCCATTATTATAATGTTTCGCAGGAGAGTTGGTGCTTTATGTTATTATGTAAATCAATAGGATTTGTATATATCCCATCATGCATGTGGTCCTTTAAAGGACAGAATTAAGACAGCTGCTGCCCCTAGGCACTTACAGTCTCACCTAATGCTTGTACAGCCCCATTTATCTTTCAGCTGAAATATGACAACATGAATCTTTAAGCTTGGGGAGTCTCTTTGGAGCAGCGACTTTCAAGGCCTAATCCTTTCAGCACTGAGAAATCCAGCCATGAGCACCGAGGTGAGCTCATTGGGGCGAGGGCCACATCTTGCGTTCTGTTCTGTACTGCACTCACGGTGCCGTGTGGGTTAAATGACAGCAAACAGGTGGCAATGCCTTCCCTTACATTTCCTCCCTTTCCGCTCGCTCCGCCCTTACTGTCTTCTAGGAAACGGCCATCACAAAAGACTATTACTCCAGCTAACGTGGCAAATTCTCTGGCTGAACTCAGACATTAACAGGCCCGATTCTCATTGACACTTTACAGAACACTCTGGCTGCATAAGGGTGGATGTACATTACAACCAGCACCCACTTTAGGGTACCTTCGCATGAATGGCTTTAGTGTAAATGAGAATTGGGCCCTGACATGTTGTGCCTATGCCAGAGGACAGTACAAGACTCCACCCAGCACAATGCATGTGCTCTGGATAATGCAATCTACGTTTCAACCAAGACAGTTCAGGTATTGGACAGCAGACAATGAATATTTCATTCCTTGCTATTTGTTACAAGCATGTAAAACACGTTCTGATTTTACACATTTAACAGCATCTGCCCTCTCATATAAAGAAGACTACTTCACCTGCCTAAATTATCCATTGTTTAAAATTAAGCTTTTTAAACTAGGCATTTTCGAGTAACTGAGCTCATGAAATCCTTGGGGTCTCCCTCAGATTTCTGGCTTGGCTTAATGTTGTTACATAAACAACTCAAAGAATTTTAATGGCATTTTTATTAATGGAGTTTCATTAACATTATATAGGCTATTGTATTAACAGGGACTCATGAAGGCCAATAAAGCAACAAAAGCAACTGCCAAAAAACCAAATAAATATATACAGAATGCACTGCTTGTTAGGTTAAAGATTAACCAGGGTCCTGGAAGCAAGGATAATGAGGTATTACAAGCAAACCCTTACACAATAAACCATCCCTTTCAGAGTATGTTTTTCTCCAGGGAATAATGCAACAAGGGAGGCTGAAAGGTTTTGTCTGGATTTGAGGGAGAATGCCGGAGAATTTGGTGGCCACCCGATTTTTTTTGTTGCGAAAGAGCCTACTCACCATATGACTAAAAACCATAAATGCCAGGCAAAATGTCGCAGAGGAGAGGAAGCGTGAACGCGGAGCCTGATCGGGGAAGGACTTGGAGATTAGCCCTGCTTTGCCTACACAAAGCACAGCACAGCAGGCAAAAGCTCAGAAGCAAATCTACTGGAGAAAGGAGGGCGCGGGGGAGTTAAGAGCGTGGAGAATTCTCACTCGGGTCCACTTGGGTTTCTGCCTTGGGCACCAGCTAACAGATACAGGAACAAATCTCCTGGACGATGCACGCAGGCAGAAAGCAAGCAGAGAGTATAAAGAGACGTCATTGAGGAATTGGTATTATGCAATAGGTTATTATCCAATTAAGTCAGCCATTAAATTGAAGAGGCATTTCCTCCATGGATGTCAGTTGTCATAGTTCCTTCAAAGTCAGTGGAACAATGACAATGTACACCAGCTCAGGATGTGTCCCTAAACCTGTTTGCCTAGACAAGCGCTCCTAGAATGCACATCAAACTAGTGCAGGTTTGTTGTGGTTGGATACCAGCTGCCAAACAAGAGGAATTCAGACTGCTCCATCAACATGGCTGACACTGCTGAGTAACTAGCCAAAGGGCCTTGATAGCGCAACGCAGCTAGCATTCCTCATCCAAAGGCCACCAAAAGAGCGTCTGGTGTGTCCTGGGACCATATAAGTTGAATTTAGCTGAGGTGGAGCAGAAGGATAGTGTTTGGCACAGACAAAGCCTGGCACACTCTGAACGATATGTCCGTAGCAGTTGGCCTGGTTGCGAATAGTGGCAACCTCTCTGTCCAAGTTCTGTTACAAGTCTTGGAGATTAATGCCATCAGGCGTTACCCAGAGCATGGACGTTAACTTCTGGTACCGCTTGGCATATTGGAACTTGCCAAAGTCAGGGAGGCTTTGAGAGTGACTGAGCGCCCTGTGGTGCAGCTGCAAAGTAGAACAGCAGCTTTGTAACTAGACTGACTACCATTTAAGTAGAAAATGTTCTAAGTGACTGAGCACCTTGCATTAGGGTTTGGCTTTTAGCTGTCCAGATACTCAGCCTTCTCTTGGCTCATTTAGATGAAAAAGAGTACTTTGTACATAACATGATGCCCAATACGACTAGACAGATTTGAGCTCACGCGGTCTGTAAGAGAACTGTTGCAAGTAGTATCAAGAAATAAATAAAGTAAATTCACAAGTGCCCATTGTGATCAGTGAATGGTTACAGCCTAACGTTGCTTCCAAATATAAAACAAAAACAAAACAACCTCTCCTTGTCCCCCCGGCAAATTCTCATCTTAAGTGTAAAATGTATCTGCAGAATATAGATCAAATGTATTAAGAGACTGAACTAAGGATTGTGTTCTCTTTATTACACTGCAGTGCAGTGTATGAGGTGCGGTACAGAGAGATAGAAAGACAAGATACTGGCACATCGAAGATGAGTAAACATGCTTTTCAGTTAGCTTATGGATAAATATTTGAGAAAACTGTGAGAGCAACTTCCCCCTTGTCGGTCATAGTAACGTAAATCCCCAAAGGGTCAGTCAGAGGAGCCCGACTACAACACGCTTTGAAAGGCTGCGCTCACAGAAGAGGAGCAGGAGAGAAAGAAATTTGATAAGACAAACAGACAAGATATTCAGCCACTGCTCTAGAGAGTGTTTTTTCCAGAAGAACCACCAAGCTGTATTTCTACTACAGATTTAGGAACACATAAAGGAAATAATTCACCTGACACCCGCCTGCATTTTCCATAACAAATTAAACTAAAGTCCTTCATTTCACCTCCAAAGCTTCCATTATTCTGAAGAACCTCCGTCTTTTGCAGGACCACCACGCATCAGAGCCCTGCGAAGTCCAATAAAGAAGCCCATTGCATGTTCTTTGGAAACAACATTAAAAGTACGAGTTGCTAATGGCTCCAGCCCCAAGTATCCTTTATACTTGGGCCCAAACTCTAAGTGGCTGGGATGAGCCAGGATGTTTTGCTCACCTGCATATGCATTTGCCTGCTGCAGAAGTTCAGTGCAGGTGTGCACATCTGCAAAGGCTCGAATTCCAAGGCAATTTGTGGGGTGCAGCTGGGACTGGAGAAAATCACAGCAGTTTTGTCTAACATCCATTAATTGCAATAAGCTGGCAGCTGGCAACAAAACCTGAGAGTGGGAAGGGAGAGGGGGGAGGGAGAAGAGAGAGAAACCAGAGTTAGCACCAGAGGCACCAGTTTGATTCCTGGCATAAACTCACCAGATATTACCCCCCTTCAAAACAAGGATGGGTTTCTTGGCTTTTTAGGGGCGGAGGGTGTTAGCAGCAGCACAAGAGGTGCTAAAGATTTAGGAGCATCTATGGACAGAGGTTCCCTCCCCCATGTGGTGACTGGCAAAAGCAGCAACATCTTGGGGCACCCAACAGTGAAGCTCCCCTCCTCACTTCTTCCCCACTGAAGAAGTTGCACAGTCAGGCAGAGGAGAGAGACAGCACAATGAGCCTGCTACAGCCAACCCACCTAAAATCCTCAATTGGTTGACAGTAGGTCCCTCGTGAAGCCTTCGTTCTGGAGAGCATTATATTATTTGCAGGCTTGGGATGGAACTCACACCCCATACACGAACACACAAACATTCCATTATACTTAGGACCCCAACCACCTGGAATCTGAGTTTCCAACCCCCCAAAAAAAAAAAAAATCCTTTTATTTGTAGGTGGGTGCTCTGTACCGGCAAGGAGCTATTAATGTGCTCCACAGCCAGTTTTCGGTTTAAAAGGTTTTTAGGTACAGAACTATTCTCTTGGGGGATAGCCCTAATACTCGAACAATGACCACATCTTTGCACCCACAAAACTGCAGATGCCACTTATAGGATTTAGATGCTGAAATACTCGACTGCACCCACAAATGAGGTACTTAAGTGTCCAGGCGCTGGAAATCGCACCCACAGAATTGAGAGTGCAAAAAATGGAGGCCGGGATAAACCCAGGACAAGAACTCGGCCTACGGCATTTAGCACTGTTCATCTGTGAGAGAAAATGCCTTCAGGGCTCCTGGACAGGAAGTCAGAGATAAAGCCAGGCTGGACACTGCAGCCGTCACTTCAGCTTGTTACGTTTCTTTTCTCTTGTCTTTTGCCAATGCACTGCGATCAGTTTTTTGAGTCCATGTTTTCATAACTCTGGCTAGTGCCGAGAACTCGTTCTTAATGGGAACGCCAGCCACACATTAATGGGGTTTCAAAACATGTCACCAACTTCTAAATTATTTCTGATCAGGGGAAACAGATGCCTGTTAAAAAAGCTTACCTTACTGCAGCTCAGTGTTGGTAAGAAGCAAAAATGTTTTTTTCCCAAGCCTCCCCCTCCCCCATACATCTCAGCAGAATAGCACTAAACCGGCAACCTGCCCTTAGGTACATTCTAAGCCACTGATCCATTCAAAGAAAAAAAATCGAATCCAATTGGATTACATGTTAATATTACCAAGCAGTAACTTTCACAGACAGCTACAACCCCAACAGGCAACAATAAAACAAAGAAATCAATTAACCCACGGGGCTGTTTCATCCAAACACTTCGATCCCAGGAACAGATTAGTCTGTCTGGTTGATTCAGTTAAAAAGGCGAGAGCAGTGTTATCTTAACATCTAGCTATGAACAACTTTCTACTTTCTCATTATTCTACTAAAACTGCCTCCTCAGTTCAACGTGGGGGTGTGCACGCAGCTTACATAACCATCCCAAAGAGCGAGATCCTCCCAGGTTCACTAGAAGCTGAGGTTATGCCATCTGTAGCAATACATCACAGCTTCCAAATGTACTGTCCTGAGCAAGCTGAGTGAGAGGATTTCCTTCTGTGTTTTGGGATAAAATCTGCATGAAAGAGGCCATCCATAATAAAGCTATACTGTTCTGGGTTACAAATGCACAACAAAGCCACATAAACTTCCCGGAACCCCTCCTATTATAGCACTGGGCATGTAACGGGTAAAGCGTACTTTACTCTGAGTAGTGGAACAATTCCCCAGGACATAAGCATTTGGCCTGCTGCATGGAAAAGAGGCATCATTACCTAATGCTTAAAGAGAGAGAGAGAGAGAGAAAAATATAGTGTATCAACAGATAAGTGGGTTGTCACTCTCTCTCTTCTCAGCTGTGTGCTTCTCTATCAGTCTTGTTTTTACCAGAGAACATGAAAACCCAGCTAAGGATATCCGTTAGCACTGTGTATGTTTCCTGTAGAAATAACAGGAGGAAATGCCCTGCCTAATCACATACCCTGGCTAAATCTCAATTCCAGTATAATCCACACAAGTTTTTGCCATCTATTTCAACTGCATCAGAATTTGGCTCTTAATGCTTAAATTCAAGTTGCTGGGTGCAATTTAGACAGCAAATGCTAATTTGGTTTCTCAGCTACATCAGCTTCCTGGCTAAAACTTGAGTCTTCCTTTGAAAGTTACATCAAAACCTGTGCTACATTTACTACTGAAATTCTCTATTGGGATGACTTATATCTGGAATCGGATACATGGTTATAAGCTGCAATATCCAGATCTCGGCAGCTGCTGTAGCTGGTTCTCAGATTCTCGTTTTGCTGAACACTATTTGCAAGGGATTGTATTTTTTTAAATGTTTGGCTGAGGTCACAGCTGGTTTGGGAACAGTTTCTGAACGTCAGAAGGTGTGAACACATTTATATTGATTGCTGCAGTTGAAAGGAAGTATGGCCCAGTGGTTAGGGCACTAGCCTTGGCTGTGGGAGATCTGGGTTCCATTCCATGTTCTGCCAGAGACCTCCTGTGTGATCTCAGGAAAGTCAATTAGGCACAAAGACTGAGTTTATCCTCAGTCATACAGGGATAGTAGAACTGTCCTGTCACACAAGGGTGTTGAGAGCACAAATACATTAAATATTGAGAGTAACTCAGATGCAACAGTAATGAGGGCCAGATAAATATGATAGAAGCAAACAATGAGGTAGACCTAGACAGCCCATTCAGGATACGTTGAGGGGGCAGGTCCGAGACAAAGATGTAGATCTTGTAACCCTCCCCTGACAAACCACACATCCTCATTAACAAAAGGTACTCTGCATATCAGCAGAGGACTAAAGGCTGCTTCCCGAACAGACATCCTGAAGTGCTGCTGTTTCCCTGAAGCCTCTTCCTGGAAAGTTTTCTACATAGTTTGAGACACAGAAGTACATGGATCCTCCATGTGGAAGGCAGATGAAAACACTGTGCTGTTAGATGAGCAGCTGCCAACGGCACATGGGACAGAGGAAGCTACATTCAGCTTCCTTTGATTTCTCTGGTTTGTTTAAGAGAGAGAATTTGCCTTATTGCCCCGCTCTCCAAATGATGTCCAACCAGCACTAGCAGCTGGGAATGAAGACCAGCTCCCGCATTTAAATGCTTTCCCCAGGGGAAAATACTGCAGCAGCACTGCAGGTGAAATGCTTCCAGACGGGTGACCCTGGCACAAACCAAACAGACACATGGTAACATCTCCGTGTGGAGAAACAAGGAGAGGAACAGCCAGAGAAAAGGAGGGAGAGAAGAAACAGGTGGACATGAAATAAAAAGTGCGGAGGCATCAACTCCACTCCCCAAAAATATTCCTTCCCAAACTTTATATTGTAGAATGGCTAACTGTGTCTGTTGGCAAACAGCTGAGAGCACGTGCAACAAACCACATCAGACTGTGACTGCAAAACCCACACTATAGTTTTTAAGGTGCTACGAGTTTCTGTTCCTTGTCCATCTCCCATCTGACGATACTGGCCTCTAATCCTTCCTAAGGGATTGGGGGGAACCCCAGTTTGGGTCCTGTTAAAACTGAACAGCCACAGCAGAGGGATATTAAGGAGGTCTCTTTGGTACTCCATTAGACACAGACGTAAAGCAAGAATATCTCCTGTAGCAAGGAGAACACAGATTTTAATCAGACTTCCTTAACACACTGGGCTTGTCCACACTACCGTGCGGGGTCGATCTAAGATACACAACTTCAGCTACGTGAATAACTGAAGTTGACAGCTGGCGCTCTCCCGTCGAGTCTGCTTGCACTTCTCGTTCTGGTGGAGTACCAAAGTCGAGGGGAGAGAGTGTTCAACGGTCAATTTATCACATCTATAGAAGATAAATCGACCCCCACTGGATCGATCGCTGCCCGCAGATCCAGCGGGTAGTGTAGACAAGCCCTATGCTGAAGGACTCTCTCTGCCTCATCCACAGCTTTCCTGTATGCCAAAGTTGTTGTTTAACAACAGTTTCCAGCGTTGCCAGAGATGTGCTGGGTAGAAGGGTGCAACCTCTGAAGGCTCCAAAATGCTGCAGAGTTTACGGGAGGTTTTTAATTACATTTTGCAGACCACATTTATTTGTAAAAATTTTTAAAAACCAGGAGAGTCCCCAGCTCTTTCCCCTCATGCCTTGGATTCTCGGACATTTTTCATTCTACAACACACACACACTTGCACTTTTTTCATGCAATGAATGCACAGGGAAGCACTCAAACATAGCATCCTGCACCTAACTGGGAAGGGTTTAATTGTGGAATCAGCTCAATGAGCCCATTCCCAGGGAACCAGTTTATCCTAATGATACTTATTGACAATTACTTGCTCAATTAGGATGGTAATTTCTTGGATGCATGCAGGTAATTAAGCAGCTCTGTTAAGGATCTCTTCCCAGTGACGTGCTGTAGGGGGTCTCTCAGGGGGTCCTGCATTAACGTTCCATCACCAAATGGAATGGAAGATTTTTGGAGTAATATCCCTGCATCTGATGGAGTCACCTCTTCTCTGGGCACTGCCACAGCATCCCTGCCAAAAAAGATTTACCTATCCTTGGAACTCACAAAGACACTTGAAGAGCAACGTTTATTTGAACGGGGAGGTTTTGGTGAAGTCCAGATTGCTCCAGGAATGAGGTATTTTCAGAAGAGTTTCCATGGAGAGGATAATCCCAGCCCCTTTGAGATTCCATGCCCACCCAAGGTTACACAAGCTGGTCACTGTGCAACAAATACAGGACAGGCATTTCCAGAACACGCATCGGATATAATGCTGCACTGCCTGCCTCCCTCCCTCCCTGGTTCTGTGGTTTTGTCTAAACAGGAACCAAATCAAGTCCCTTTTTACCGTCCCTCGCTCTTCTCTCTGCAACATACACACCCTAAGGCCAAGGCAAAGGCTGAGGGGGACAATTTTTGTGGGAGCCCCATGCTAATGGCACCTCACTGGTCCGGCCCTCATGAGGCTGACAGAGCTATGTCTCCTTCCAAATATCTGCACTACCCTAGGTGTTGGAACCAGGGGTGCTGGTTTGAAGTAGTAACAACCACCCAAATACGTGGTTTCCACCTTCAGCACCTCCACCACAAAAATTGTTCCATCACCACAGTGAACTAGCGTTGGCTCAGCAAAGCAGAGCTGCTCTAATAAACTCTCATCAAGCTCACAGCACCAGAAGCTTCTTCAGAAACCTGGCAGCACTTTAATTCTCTACTTGACTTCGATCTCCACTAGGGGGAAGTGGCTTTGAGCCTTTGTCAGCAGCTGGCCTTTGTTCCCTATAACTCTTTACTGAGCCAGCAGCTTAGACGCGAGCAATGGAAAGCCACTGGAGAGACATTAATTTCAGCTACAACTTGAAGTCTTCTCTTACCTGGGAAATCCACATAATTGGCATGACAACAGCCTGCCGGAACAGCCAGATTTTCAGGGTTCTACCAAGCCATGTAACTAGAATACACTGGGAAGCAGGCTCTGCTCAGAGGCACACAGGCAGCTTCCAATGAAGCCAAAAGGGGATGTATGTAAGCATCCATGGACAGAACTGGACCCACAATAATCGCATGTTCCTGCAAATTCCTTGGGGCCAGCTTACACGCACACACCCCATAAAGGGAGGGAAGAACAAAAACTCACACCACATTACAGCAAGAGGCAGCAGGAAGGAAACCCCAGGTGAGGATTTCCTCAGATTGTTGCATGGCAGGGGGATTTTCCCCCAATCCGTTCTCTGTAATGAGCATCAGTATAAAACAATTCCTCACTCTTTTTTAGTAGATACACCTGAGACATTAACAGTCTTACTCTTCATCATTCATGCTGTCTGAACTTCTTTGGCTAGCTATGCAAAGAGAAAGAGACAAAGAATGATCTCCTTTCTAGAGCCATCACAGGCTCTATGGGAGGAATAGAACTGTTCATTATGTTCTGTAGAATGGTTAGAAAAAGGAGATCAGGGAAAAGGAGATCATTCTCTGTGCATTGCTGTCAGTGTTGAAGAGTAATTTCTATTCTACTGGTTTCAATATAAAATTAAGTTAAATTCTATAAGACATTTCCATAACAATATCAACTTGGATATTGAAACAGACTAGTCAGTTTCATCTTTGTTTATAATCGGTTTCACTTTCTTTAAGTTAATGCAGTTTCTTGTATTAACATAATTCTGGGCTTTCAAAAGGGAGCAGGGTGATGTTTAAATAAGTCACATGGGGGTGAAGCTGTTTGGGGTTTATTTTATTTAGATCATGCAAACATCTCTATTCCTATTGGACTTTTCTAGGCCTCTGTCCACTTGGGTTTGAACTAGTTTGACTGCATACATCTTTGAAAGAGTACAGAAAGGGCTCTTACTTCAACTATTTGTTCCACCACAGAGCTTTAAAGCAAAGGCAGTGGTTGGGTTCTATTAGTAAGACACTAGCCTCTGTTCAGTTCCCGTGAGCCAGCGTTTGGCTAGAGGAGACATACAATCTGAACCTCTTGATGTTTACCATAAGACAGACAGACCAGTCTTGGCAATGTGTAAGCTATATCTCTTCGCATGAGACGCAAGCTCCTAGAGATTCAGGAGAGAGAACATTTCCCAATACACATTATTTTGGAGCCATCTAAGGCTCTTTTATGTCCCCCATTAACATTGTATCTGAGCACTCACAATCTTTAACATATTGATCCTTGTAACACCCCTGTGAAGTAGCGAAGTGCTATTTTTCCCATTTTACAGATGGGGAACTGAGGCAAGAGACTAGGTGATTTGCCCACGGTCAGGCAGGAAGTCAGTGGCAAAATAAGCACTCAAACCCTTGTTTCCCCAAGTCCTAAGGGATTGGACAAAGCTAGTGGCCATCTCACTTGCATCAAGAACATCACCACCTGAAGACAGATTCTTAAAGGGCTTCTTGCTGCTCCCTCTAGTCTCGCATTTTCAAATAAAGACAATCTAAAACACACGCTGTAGTATTTCCCAGCACTCTCTCGTGCTCATTTTTCACTCCATCCTGTGGAGATGAACTGCGTATGCCTTGTCCAATTTCAAAATCATTCAGAAAAGGAAGATGGTTGAAACTAAGGCTATGTCTACACTGCAGCTTATGCCAGCATAATTTATATCGCTCAGGGGTGTGAATAAACCACCCCTCTGAGAGACAGAAGTTATACTAACGTAAATGCCGGTGTGCACGGTGCTTCTCCCACCGACAAAGTTATGGGCACTCGTGGGGGCTGGAGGAGTTAAGCAGACAGAAGAGCTCTCTCCCATCAGCTTAGAGTGGCTACATCGGAGAGCTTACAGCGGCTGTAAACTCTCTAGTGTAGCCATGCCTTATGTCTACCATTTTTAAACAAGTAGCAACAACAATTGAAACCAAACCTGTCAGAGATCCCAAAACCCCTCCTGGAATTCAATGACCCACTTCCCACCAGCTGCTCTTTTGCTATAAATACAAATGTAGGCATTGGACACCTTCACTATCTTCCACACAGACACAGGAGAAAAGTAAAAATACCCGCTCCTAAGCATCATGTGTTACCTACAGACTATACTAGTCTACTGCACCCGGTCAATGATTCTTCCCCCTGCTGCCAAATAGTTTTGCTTTCCTTGTATTCAGTAACTTCCTCTCTACTCTTGATAGTCCCCTGCCTATTTCCCACTCTACACAACCACCGCTATCAATCTGTGACTCTCTTCTCTTTACAAATAGCTCCCCAAAACAGGACTTTAGAACCAAAATTCAATCATATTTGTAATTCTTATTTTGTATTGGCAGGTTCCATATAAAATAACCCTCTCTTCCACCCATCTCAGCTTACTAGTATTCTTTATTATCTGTATAGAATCAATAGGGTACTAAGTGCTTTACACACTGGTATAAAGGAGCCCAAATCTGCTCCCCCACCAGATTAACACTGGCATTACTCCTTTCGAGATGCACATGATTTATACCAGTGTGAGAGCAGAATCAGACCCAATGTTCTTCCCCCAAAGAGCTTCAAGTCTAGACAGAATACAAAGGAAGGAAGTAGGAACTAGAAGTGGCTATGCGAGCTCTAATTTTAGCTGTAAATTTGCATTCTACTCAAAGCTTCACACAACCCAAATGACTACCCATAAGAACTAAAAACTAATCACCACAGGAGTTTTCTATTGGGACCTGAAGAACCATCACCCCACTTATGCTTGTTTTAGCGTATCTTGACCTTCACTAGACTGACCCGACAAGTTAGCACGGCTTCTTGGAAGGCAAATGCTTAGTCTTATAATATGCAGTGGTGTTGTAGTCATGTCGGTTCCAGGATATTAGAGAGATAAGGTGGGTCAGGTAATATCTTTTACTGGATCCACTTCTGTTGGTCAGAGAGACAAGCATGTAAACTCATAAGCTTGTCTCTCTGACCAACAGAAGTGGGTCCAGTAAAAGATATTACCTCACTCACCTTGTCTCTCTCGTCTTATAACAGGAACATGAAATGAAGACTAAATGTAACATGACTTATGTGTGGGGAAAAAGCAGTAAAGTGCCTCAAAACAATACAGAAAAGAAAGGTAGCACGCGTCACACTCTACCCTTCATTTTGTGTAGCCTGCAGGCACCAGTTACGCTGATGGTTCCTCAGTCTGCGATTTAAGCCATGAAGGCTTTTCCCCTTCAGTTTCCAGGAGTTATTGAGCCCAGCTTACCTGCACGTTCTCTTCCGTGACCTCTATTTCAGCTGTATAGATGTAATCAATCAGCTTACTCAGTGTTTGCCCATCGACGTCTTTTATTTCAATCTTCTTTGCTTTACTTTCAGTCATGTCTCCTGAAATTCAGTTCAAACTGGCATTCAATATTTGTTTGCTTTTCTCCTCCCCTCCACCTCAATGCCCGATATGCCCAGTGGAAACTCTCCCTCCACCCCCAATTAAAACACAATGGAAAGCCCTGAACCCAGTCGCTATCCCTGCAGGTCCAGGATGACTGGCAGAAGTCCATTAGTGCCATCTTCTAAACATCAGAGAGCGATATCAGGAGGCAACAAGAGAGACTTCCCTTCACACAGTGTGTGTGTGCACTGTTTCACAGCCCAAGAACTACAACGGGGGAGAGGTACCCCAAGAACAGCATGCCCAGAACCAGGTGGTCTTCTAGCAGCCTCTTCTCCTGAGGCTTCCAGCATAGTTCCGCAGACTGAAGAGATTGGCCTGGTTCAAAATACATTTCCCCATGAGCTGGGTGCTTGGATGAAGACAACCTCCTGAGATTCACCCAAGTTCAAATGTATATGAGAAAACAACAATAAGACACAATTAATTACTCTCATAGATGGATAAGCACAGAAGATGACAAAAAAGTTGTCCTTTGATAGGCTATAAGAACTAATTATGGGTGAATCTCCGGAGGGCCTCTTCGCACAAACTAGGAAACTATGAAAATCTCTGCAGAAATCACCACTCCGTTGCTAGCATTTTTTTTTTTTTGGCCAATGGGGCAGTCCTATCCAGAGGGATAGGCCAAAGGAAATCTAAGGTTAACTTTTTTTTTTTTTTATAAATATAAAAAGTGGCAAACAAGAGACTCCACTGGAGGTAAACCAAACCTGTGTCTGCTCAACAGCCTACACATGCATATCCCGGTGTAGCTGACTTTGAGCTTAATTAGAAATGGAGGTAGGAAGGAGGTATATTTCAGTAACAAAAGAAAGCTGTGGGTGTTGCAAGAAAGGATCCCTGAGGCCACCTTTAACGATCAGTTGCAGAAAGTGACATTACACCTCCAGGTTTTCTCAAAATGCTGATAAGCCAGGGAAGAAAAACAAATTCCAGCAGCAGAAGTAAAACAATAGAAGAAAACAATTAAGTTAGACAAAGGAGAAATTGAACAACTGTCAAATCTTTTACTGGGATACGAATAATCACAACACTGAGAAATTCGGTCACTCAGTGCTGCTGTGGGATTAAGAGGAGTAGTTCTACACTCATCCTCTGTGAAAAACAGTTACAGGCTGCATGTATGTAAAGGAAATGTTCAAGTCATCTTTGACATGACATGATAGAGCTCCACATCCTAAGAGCACAGCATATGACCTGGGGTGAGACAGACACACAAAGGCAACCAAGTTTCAGCAAAATCCTGACACTGGGAACACCACCTAGCTCTGGCCTTCTTCACACAAGTGACATGAACTACACTGTGGAAACTGCAGAAGACATTATATGCACAGAGACCATGAAACAATACCTCCTCCCACCCCACTCTCCTGCTGGTAATAGCTTATCTAAAGTGATCACTCTCCTTATAATAAGAAAAGGAGGACTTGTGGCACCTTAGAGACTAACCAATTTATTTGAGCATGAGCTTTCGTGAGCTACAGCTCACTTCATCAGATGCATCTGATGAAGTGAGCTGTAGCTCACGAAAGCTCATGCTCAAATAAATTGGTTAGTCTCTAAGGTGCCACAAGAACTCCTTTTCTTTTTGCGAATACAGACTAACACGGCTGTTCCTCTGAAACCTGTCATTGTAAGGAGAGTGATCACTTTAGATAAGCTATTACCAGCAGGAGAGTGGGGTGGGAGGAGGTATTGTTTCATGATCTCTGTGTATATAATGTCTTCTGCAGTTTCTACAGTATGCATCCGATGAAGTGAGCTGTAGCTCACAAAAGCTTATGCTCAAATAAATTGGTTAGTCTCTAAGGTGCCACAAGTACTCCTTTTCTTTTTGCAAATACAGACTAACACGGCTGTTACTCTGAAACATGAACTACACTGTGTGTGAGTAAGATGAGCAGGACCTGGTCCCTAAGTAAAACCAATAAAGTCTTGCGTTGAACTGAATGAATTAAAAAACACAATGATAAAGATCACGTAAAGGAACCTGGGACATCTTTACAAGCAAAAGACCCACATCTGTGAAGTCAAATCAAATCCCTGGTGGTATTTAAAGCAAGTGGGATTTAAAAAAAAAAAAAAAGAGAATTCTCACCACTTGAAGGAAGCATCCTGAACAAAGGATATTACAGAATGGTCCATAAAAGTCTCCCGGGTGCTACGGTAACACCCTGTACCTGTGCTTCAGAGCAAGCAAAAGACTCAGCACAAACACGGATATGTTTATTGAAAAAAAGAGGGGTAGAGGACAGAGTCAGAAGAACTTATGCAGAGATCAATACACAAATAGCTCAGAGAGACTGATCTGAGATCATCATCTCCCTTTGTGGCACTCATAAGACACAGCCAACAAAAAATACATACTGTGTGGGCTCACACGCCCACCCACAAGCTGCTAACGCTGCAGTTTGCATTCTGCTAGATCTCTAGATCGTTATGCTCAGCTCCATTGCCCAGGCAAGTAGAGCTGCAGCGATACCATCTACCCCCTCCACACTCCAGCAGGTCACTCCAACCTGTTCCACTGGTCAGAAGGCACCACTTTTCACGTGCCTGTTACTCTTCCCAGCCAGGAAACATCTGGACACTATGAGCTGAAAGGGAATGGGGAGCAGGGGAGTGAAGTTAGCAGGATAATAGGAGTGGGTGATAAATGCTTCCATCCAAGCCGAAGCACGCATATTCAGTACAAATATAGCATCTCCTAAGGCATCTTTGGAGGTGTCGGAATGACTGGATGAATTAATTCAACTCATCCCATACACCCTTTCAAAAAAAAAAAAAAAAAATCCTAAAGTCTTTGACAAACCAGAATCGAGCCTTGCTTGCTTCAGATCTTAATTTAAAGCACTGTTATTAATTATTTGTATTAGCACTATATCGACAGACAACAACTGATAACAGGGCCCCACTGTGCTAGGCACTGTGCACATTAGCCACGCCCTGCTCCAAAGAATCGAAATAGACAAGACAGACAAAGGTAGGAAGGAAAGTGACTTGCCTATGGTCATGCAACAGGTCAGTGTCAAAGCCAGGAGAGCTGGGTTGTGTTCCTGACTCCCAGTCCTGTGCTCTACCTACTGGATCATGCTGCCTTTTGCTGCTGAGAAGACTTTGCAACCACTACTCCCACATCTGCAAGCACTTCTTACGTATACCTTGCACACCCCCTCAATACACATGACTGTCTGTCCTATATACTGCAATGCCATTGCTCTTTCTAGCCTGCATTAACTCAGTGGGGGAGTCAGTTCTTCTCTCCCATCTTTGATATCGCCTTGTTCACGGAGCACTGCAGGCCGCCCTGCGCCGTATTTCTTGTGCTCCACATGGACACTGTCTGGTTCATAGCTCTAGCTCTTTTTTGTGGGGGGGGTTTAAACCAAGGATCTGTTCAAACTGCCTGTGAGGAGAATACACATGTGGCAGAAAACACAACAGCAGCCATTTCACACACAAAAAGAGGAGAGCAGATTCTGAAGCGATGCCGAAGATCTGAAGAGAAGATCTGGATTGCTGCTGACTGCTTCTGTGCTTCCAAAACCCCAACACACACAATCTGTTCTGCAGTAACGGCCTCAAACATTCCAATCACATCACTGGTTTCAGAGTAACAGCCGTGTTAGTCTGTATCCACAAAAAGAAAAGGAGTACTTGTGGCACCTTAGAGACTAACCAATTTATTTGAGCATAAGCTTTCGTGAGCTACAGCTCACTTCATCGGATGCATACTGTGGAAAATGTAGAAGATCTTTTTATATAGACACAAAGCATGAAAAAATACCTCCTCCCACCCCACTCTCCTGCTGGTAATAGCTTATCTAAAGTGATCACTCTCCTTTTTTCATGCTTTGTGTGTATATAAAAAGATCTTCTACACTTTCCAAAGTATGCATCCGATGAAGTGAGCTGTAGCTCACGAAAACTTATGCTCAAATAAATTGGTTAGTCTCTAAGGTGCCACAAGTCCTCCTTTTCTTTTTGCAATCACATCACTGCAGCTGTTGCAGTCATTATTGGAGTGGATCTGGTTTTGTTTTATTTCAGAATGTTGTACATTATAATGACCATCCTTGCAGAACAAAACAAAACCATCAAGCCTCCATGGGAAGTGCTTTTAAAAAATAATGAAGGGAAAGCAATCAGTTTAGGAACACTGCTCCAAATCCAGCTCTGGAGTTCGCAGGGGTAAGTCTCATGACCTTCAGTGGGCGATGTGCCTGCTTATTCCAGAGCTTCAAAGTCTTGGTTTTAAACAAATACATAACTAGAAGAGATCAGCTGGCTAAAGGCACTGGCATAGGGAGTCCTTCATCTCAAGGTCACTGGTTCAAATCCAGTAGAAGTCTACACTGATTGAGAGTTGCTGACCAGCAGTGGGATGATCACACATAGGGAATGAATTGTTGGTCTCCGTTTGGTTCCTGCTTGTCTGCCCACAGTCTTCTTTTCTACCAGCTAACCCAATGAGCACCTTCCTCATGGGCATGGCCATAGGGATTTTCCCCCTGGAGTGAAATCTCTGCCCCAGAAGAGGTCCCTTCCAGGCCAAGCAGGACATATACTACTAGGGGCTCTCCCAAACAGCTTGCTACTGCTGCTGCTCATGCTGTGCGGGTCCTGTGGATAAATACAAGAGCTCAGTTTCCCCACTGTTGTCAAGTTTCATCTCTGAGCAGCAACAAAAAAAAAAAAATGAAGAATAGTGAGCTTATTTTGGTAAAGGATCACTCTCCACAAAGTGAAACAATGCTGAGGTACAGAGAAGTACTTCTGACCTTGCAATAGGGAGACCCAGAACTTGTTCCCAGAATATGGGAACAGCCAGCCCTAAACAGAGAGGAGAGGAGATAGTGACCTAGCGCTCAACTTGTTTTACAACCAGAGCAGCAGCAAACAGTAATCGTTAGAACTATAGCCAAAGGTAGTTTACAAAAAAAAAAGTCACACGATTGTGGTTAGATGGTTACTATTTAACTTTCAGATCCGAGCATTACTGGGCCTCACAGAATTCCAGAATTGGAACAGCGACAAAGTCTACCTGCCCTTATTAATGCCAGTTAATCATGGTGGCTGGTTTCAGGCAGACATGACCTCTAAGGATCAGAGGCTTCTCCAGGGCTGTGCTCTTGTTGGCTGGTGTAATAACTACCACAAACAGTAACAAATACTCTCACAGAGCACGCCTTCCTGCTTTGCTCCTTACACATAGTGGCATTATTATTACTGCTAACATCCAATCCCAAGATACTGTCTCAGCTCTCTAGATTCTTAGTAGCTTAGATTTGTCAGCCTTACGAAGAAAAAACTTCCTGGCAAACGTAAAGTACCTACCAACGCACTCCTGCTTATACAGACATACATCCCACAACGTCAACCATCAATTTATTTTTTAAGTGAATGCACCTTCTACTTCCCATATGCCAAAAGCCACCGATACATGCAATCCCGGCAGAACACCAAGCCCAGCACATGAACTCACAGTTGCATCCCCCCTTTTCCCATTCAGTTAGGACCACATTCTTTCTGGCACAAACACTGCCTGGCTCTGCTATAGCTTTTAAGTCACGACAAAGAAAACACATTTTGCAGATGATGATTAGCAAGGAGTTGAACTCTTCCAATAAAACTGACAGAAACAGGGTCAATCTAAGCCTCTTTAAGGAGGGAGCATCCACGTAGAGACACAAAACAGTAGCTCTCCCAGCTCCCTTTTGACCATCCTCCAACGCTTTGGTGACCACAAATCAAGGAGTATCACAGAACGTTCCCCAAATTGGGTTTCTCACATAATGCATTGGGCTGAAGTTAAGCCATCACAAGAGTCGTTCAGGAGAGCTTAAAATCCAATCTGTTTTATTACTCAGAATTTTGGTTTGTTGGCTCTTTTTCAGGAAGGGAATGTGAGGGAGGGAACAGTGTGGCCTCCTGGCAGCTGCTCCTTTAAGAAGAGGAGAAAAGAGCAGATGGCCCAGGTGGAGAGGGTAGTCAAAGGTCTCCTATGTACTCAGGACAGCAACAGGAGGAGGGTCAGCAGTTGCAGAGCCCTGCAAAGAGGTAGAGTTGGGCGGGGTGACAGTACTGATTGAAATTTTTTGAAGGGGGCAGCATTGTTTGGGGGTATAACTGATTTGTTGGAGGCACAGATATGACTGGTCAGGTGGGAGCAAAGATTTGCCAATGGAAATTCAACATGCATGGCCAAGGGGCTTGGGAGCAGAGACGGTACTGCAGTGCAGGTGTCTTCCAGCTGAGCTACCAGGCTGAGTCTTCAGTTGAGTTAGGTGGAAATATTCCATCCCTGTCCTCAGAGACTTGTTCCGCTCTTCTTGACCTTTTGTCTTAACCTAAGGCCTAATCTTGCCAACGCTGAAGTGTGTGTGTAGTTTTGCTTACACAGAATCATAGAACTGGAAGGGACCTCGAGAGGTCTAGTCCAGTCCCCTGAACTCATGGCAGGACTAAGTATTATCTAGACCAGAGGTGGGCAAACTACAGCCCGGGGGCCACATCCAGCGCAGCCCCTGAGTTCCTGGCGAGGGAGGCTCGCCCCCGGCCCCCCCCCACTGTTCCCCCTCCCCCGCAGCCTCAGCTCACTCCACCGCCGGCGCAGTGTTCTGGGCAGCGGGACTGTGAGCTCCTGAGGCAGCGTAGCTGCCGAGCCCGGCCTGACGCGGTGCTCTGTGCTGCACGGTGGCGGCGGCAGCGTGCCCCGGTTCCAGCCGGGCAGCATGTCTGTAGCGCCTCCAGGCAGTGTGGTAAGGGGGCACGGAGCGGGGGGATTGGATAGAGGGCAGGGGAGTGGCTAGGGGTCGGGCGGGAACAGGGGGTTGAATGGGGACAGGGGTCCGGGGGGGGGAGTCAGGAAGGAGGGGGGGTTGTATGGGGCAGCAGGGGGCAGTCAGGGAACAGGGAGAAGGGGTGGTTGGATGGGGCAGGGGTCCCGGGGGGGCAGTCAGGAATGAGAGGAGAGGTTGGATGGGGTGGCGGGGGGCAGGGGTCCGGGGGCAGTCAGCGGACAGGGAGCCAGGGGGTGTGGATGGGGCAGGAGTCCCGGGGGTGGGGGGCCAGATAGGAGGTGGGGGCCGGACCACGACCTCCTCCCCTAACCAGCTCTCCATACAATTTCCGAAACGCGATGCGGCCCTCAGGCCAGAAAGTTTGCCTGCCCCAATCTAGACCATCCCTGACAGGTGTTTGTCCAACATGCTCTTAAAAATCACCAGTGATGGACATTCCACAACCTCCTTAGGCAATTTATTCCAGTCCTTAAGCACCTTCACAGTTGGGAATTTTTTCCTAATGTCCAACCTAAACCTCCCTTGCTGCAATTTCAGCCCATTGCTTCTTGTCCTATCCCCAGAGGTTAACGGGAACAATTTTTCACCCTCCTCCTTGTAACAACCTTTTGCGTACTTGAAAACTGTTCTCATGTCCCCTCTAAGTCTCCTCTTCTTCAAACTAAACAAACCCAATTTTTCAATCTTCCCTCACAGGTCATGTTTTCTAGAGCTTTATCATTTTTGTTGCTCTTTGCTGGACTTCCTCCAATTTGTCCACATCCTTCCTGAAATGTGGCACCCAGAACTCGACACCATGCTCCAGTTGAGGCCTAATCAGCGTGGAGTAGAGCAGAAGAATTACTTTTCGTGTTTTGATTACAACAGTCCTGCTAATACATCCCAGAATGATGTTCCCCTTTTTTTTTTTTTGGGCAACGGTGTTACACTGTTGACTCATATTTAGCTTGTGGTCCGCTATGACCCCCAGATCCCTTTCCGCAGTAGTCCTTCCTAGGCAGTCATTTCCCATTTTGTGCGTTCGCAACTGACTGTTCCTTCCTAAGTGGAGTACTTTGCATTTGTCCTTATTGAATTTCATCCTTGTTACTTCAGACCATTTCGCCAGTTTGTCCAGATCATTTTGAATTATAATCCTATAATCACGGACGGGGTTTCCAAAGACAGTGGCAGCACTCAGACCAAGGAGTCAACAAGACTTCTACCATTTGCTTCAGTGGGAGCAGAATTAAACCAATGCTGAACACTTCGGAACACGTCCATCCCTTGTGTTCAAGTTTTTGTAGGATAAGGCCTTTGGATCGTAAGCTCTGAGACAGGGACTTTTGTGGGGGGACGTGTGAGCAATGTAACATGCAACTTTACTGCACTGTATAAATGCTTGATATGAATAAATAAAAAACATGCTTTAACACCCCGAATTCTGGTCTAGAAAAATCAAACATCTCACTTCAAATGCTATCTGCCAACCCACATACAATTCCTTCTGTGTCCCACACAGCACAGAGCTCCCATGGGAGGGCCACATACGGTGGCATCCAACTTTTACCAAGTGCTGCCAGTGTCCTCAAACCTGCACAAGACAAGGTCCCCTGTCCAAAGGGGATTTAGCCAAGAGATGTTCAAGCACATTCATTGGTATAAGCAGCTACAGACTTTACTACATTTCTTCTCTTCCACGAAAAGACCTTCATACAGACCCGAGCCCACACCATCTGCAGCAGGTCTATCGTGGAGACATAACTGTGTGCGTCTTGGATTCTGCAGAGCACACTCAACCACAGAACTTTGTTTGGAGGCAGAAAAGTACCTGTAAACATTGCACAAAAATAGGGGCTGCAGGCTGCTAGGACAACGCGATGGGCTTCCATCTCAACGGCTTCAGCAACAATCACCACATCACAGAGGAGTCGCTTGCTGGAAAACACCAGAGAAGACAACATGGTTTCAGAACATCTGGCCATGCAAAGGGCCCTCTGTAAATACCTTTGGAAAAATGAGCAGAGTTCCTATGTCACAAACAAGTGACCTGAATCATCCAGCAAGATCTGACAACTGCTGGAGTCTCAGTGGAAGGTTGAAACACAAGGAGACAACCAGTCCCTATCAACTTTTCTTTATGGAGCATATCCTGCTCCCACCCAAAGCGGCAGAGATCCCTGCCTGCAATAGAACTGGACGCATCCTGTTCTACAAAAGGAAGGATTTGGGAGGCTGGCCACAGGGTCCTGAACCCCGAAGTTCAGATTGTCTCCATCTCCAATCATAAAGCAGCCTGGGAAAGGGACAAAGGATCCTCCTAGCAGCTCTGTCACTACACCGATGTGCCACCCACTTTTCCCCCATAAAGCAGTAGGGGATGCTGCAGCTTTCATCTCTCCACAGCCTTGGGAAGGAGGTGGGATAAATGGGGAGAGGGTTCCTTTTTTTCCCCACATGACACAACAGGCCTGGTAGAGGAGAAGGTTTGATGCTACAGCACATGAACAAACAAAGCGTATTCCTCAGGGCTGAATGGCACACAAAGGGTTCCTCGCGTCATTCTCAAGAGCATCACCACAAAGTGCACTCATTCACTGGAGTCTGCTATTCATCTTGATGACCGAGTTTAACGCACGAGTCAGCATGGAGTCAGCCCCAGTTCTGCTACTCACTCACAGCTTGGCTTTGGGTAAGTTTTTCATGACTCTGTGCCCATTTTTATCTCCCTCTCAGATCTCTCCTTTGAGCATTTGTTAATTGATGTTTGTATATTGTAAGTGCTCAGTATTATAAAATACCTAGTCCCTACTTAAGCATCTAAACGCAGAATAAGGGTGCTCATTGACGGGGTCACATTAGGAAAAAAGATCAGGGTCTACAAATCCAGATGTCACTTTCTCTTCTATACAGCTTATTGCGCTTTTGCTTTAGAAAACCCCATGTAAAACAAAAAACACATTTAGCCTTCTAACAGACTAGGTACGTCCCTTGTATTTTGTGATACTTAATAAAATGACTCCCAAAACGCTGAAAATTACAGCTGGAAACATACAGGAAAGACAACACCTAGAAATAGATAAGAGACTGTGTGTTTCATATTTATACCAGCTCTGATGGGGTGGTGGTGGTAAAGGGAGCTTTTATGTGAGCAAAATACAGTGCAGGCTTTGGAGATCATTCACTTCAGTCTATCAAGAAGGAATCCAGTTTAGTCCCTCTCTGGGATCCTATCATCTAAAAAGTCTATTTCATGCAAATGAGTTTTCCATTTACATTTAGAAGATGAATGTGCCAAGCAACTAACTCGTAGTCAATAGGTTAGAGGTCTCACTACCTCCCAGAGAGTTTAAATCTAGACTTTCTGTAAGGGATTACTAGATAAACAGGAATTAAATCGCTGTTATTCAAGGTAACCATTTTCACAGGCTGTCTGACAGTACTACTGAGTGATGGTTCAAAGCAGTGCACCATACACACATCAGGATTTGCAGACTGCAGAATAGCAGCAGGAGTGAAGAGAAAGCAGTGCCAAGGAGCATGCAAAGATGCAGTCTGAAAAGCATGTGCTTAAGGGCAGATCTAACCTTCTACAGTCAGCTGAGTAACATACGGGATCGAGCAAAACACAGAAACCAAGAAAGCAGCACTGCTCGGGTCTCCAGTGCACTTCAGTTAAAGGAATACAATATTGGAGTTTCAACATAACCATGGCCGCCTGGTGCTCAGCTGCACAAGCACCTGCATTCAGGTCTCCTCATCCCTCTGCCAGCAGAGGACTAGAGGGAGACTGAAAAGGAAATGCACTCAGCTTCACAGAACTGTGAGATGGGAAGGATACTTAGCATTTCTCTGTGTTATGCCCCTCTGCTTGGGCCAGCCCAAGCATGGTGGCATCTGCTGCAGAGGAAGAGGATTCCAGTCCTTCTCTTTATAGGATAATGCATATTTTAGAAGGTCAACCTATTCAACCCGGGGGCGGAGGGAGGGGGAAAGAGAGTGTTACATACACATTTTTCACATTAAATAAATAAAACAGAATAGTTTCCACAAACCAAAGATACCGTTTGGCAGGCCAAGGACTCAAATAAGTCACACAAATGAAAAAGTCAAACACTCGCTGAATTTCAACCTGCTTCAAGGGAAGATGGCAGACTCCAAGAAACAAGCCAAATGTCATCCACTGCCACTGAATGGCTGACACACCCACAGGTATCTTTTAAATGACTAATTTTTTTAAAAGGCCATTTAAAGTAACAATTCTCCTCTCCCCCACACATACACACACTTGATCGAAAATCTGCTGGAGTTCTTCTTTGAGCAGTGTGAAGTTTTAAAATTGGCTTGTGGGTGGTGTGGTTTTTTTTTTGTTTTTTTACACACTTTGCAGTACAAAGCTGAGATTGAGTGACCGTGAGTCAAAGAGAATGAGAATCCCACTTTAGCAATCCTTGCTCTGTAATTACGTGTAGGTGTCCTCATAGCTGTAATATTCTATTATTGGTCTTCAAGCCATTTGCTCTGTTGAGAATAGTGTGTTTGTGTGTGTGGATTTGCTGTAAGTAGTGGGAAACTTTAAACCAATTATTGTTTGTAAACAGCAGATATGGCTCTGAAAATGACACAGCTGGCTTCTTTTTGACAAAGAGGTAGACAGGTGTGTGGGTGGGAATAGCAGCGCTCTACAAGTCTACACTTTGGCTGCCTCTTCCTACTGCTTTGCTAACACCCTGTTGCGTGACCTCCTTTTGTGCTGAAGCGAATACAGAATATTATTTTTTAAAGTGCCCCAAATGACTTTCTGTTCTGATCAGCATGTGTCTGATAAACCAAAGATGATGCATGTTACGTGGAAAAAGTACCTCCGTAATTCATTCATGACCTTGAATGCCTTTCCCATGTGAGAAGGATTGACTGTTATCGTGCGCTGGTCCTTCTCCTTATCTTCAGCTTCATCAGGTGACTGGGAACTCTGTTTGATGCTGAAAATGAGGATAAGAGGGAAGGGAAAGTTTATGCTTTTTCAGTGTTGTTGAATCCAGCATAATTGAATTTAAAGATAGCAATAATTTATGTTAATATAGCAAGCTCTGTTCTGAAGGATCCCCAATGCTTTACAGCTTACGGCCCAGCTCCTGCAAACACTTGCGCATGCAAGTAGTACGAACAGGACAACTCATGTGTAGAGTCACAGACACTCTCATCCTTGTCTCTAGGATCAGTGTCCGTATATGGAAAGTCTCGCTGAAATGCAGCTACCGCTGGTTGGTTAGATGGTCGCAGCCAGCCAGACAAGAGTGGGAAGGGGAAGAAATGTGAGCCAAGCACATGAGGACAAATTCAAGTCTCAGGATACATTTAAACTTCAAGCTGGGGGGTGTGATTCCCTGCTTCAGGAGACATGCCCACATTAGCTCTGATCAAGCTAGTGCACTAAAAATAGTGTGGTCACAGCAGTGCAAGTGGCAGGAAAGGCTAGCTGCCGCGAGTACATGCCTATAGTCTCTGACGAAAACGTATTTCGGGTGGCTAGCCCCTTCCACTGCTCACGCCCGTATAACTATGCTGTATTTTTAGCATGCTAGCTCAATTAGAGCAAGTGCAGGTATGTTGAGTTGGGAATCACATGCCCAGCTCAAAGTGTGGACATACCCTGAGGGTATGCTTTCACAGCCCAGTTAATCTGAGTGATCGCTCATGTGTTAAACCTAACACAACACATGTCCACAAAAATCTCTAACCCGAGTTAAGTGCTGCTTTAAGGTCGAGCTAGCTGGCCAATCGGAGGGTGGGGAGCGTGGCTTGACATGCAAGTGATGCTGGTGCTCGAGCTGGTAATTCAGTGGGGATGCAACAGCTAATCCAAATCATTGTGTAACTCTAGTGTTGCTTTGCAGCATGGTTGCTCTCATTGGAGCTGGCCTAGCTCACCTACAGTAACGAGACTTGCCACCTGCGCAGGTTTTCCCAGGATCATCCCTTTTTGAGGCAGCTGTCCCAGGAAATCTGCGAGTCTTCTCAGGACATTAAAACTCCCAGGTTGTGCAGTGTTGTTTTTTTTTTAACCACAGCTGTGTAATAATACGTCACTCTGAGCCTGCTCAGAGACTGGGGCCGCATCTGCACCACAGACAGATGGCACAGCGCACCAATGAGGGCAGGCTCCAGGGACAGACTCATGTGGCTGAGGGGGAGGTGATGGCCACAGCAGGACGGCTGCAGTGTCGGACTGCCCCTGGGCCGGCCTGCCTCTGCTGACCAGCAGCTGGAGCTTGGGAGCCCAGCCTGTGGGGAAGTGAGGGGCTTGTCTTGGGGACCCACGTGTCCCGCCCCCAGTGCTGGGTGGCAGGGGCAGACCCTGCAGGCTGTCCTGTGCCCTGGCATAATGGTGGGACAGTTGGATCTCCAGCATTAAGTAATAGGTATGTCCTGGGTTTTGTATCTCATAGGTGGCAGCCCTATCAATAACAAAAGTGTACTAACTCCAGCTAACTACTACAGTGAAGACAAGCCCTGACAGGCTCTGATTCAGCAAAGCACTTGACCTTAAAGTTAAGCAGGTGCTTAATTGCCTTGCTGCATAGGTATAGACTTAAGCACAAGGGGGCCAGTGTCCACACAAAGAGCAGGACTGTGGTTTTTCATCTCATCTGAAAGAAACATGCTCACAGTAGATTGCATGGAACGCACTCTACAGCGATAAGTCAGAAAATTGGAATTGAAATTATTTGTACGACGTCCACTGTATTAGTTTAGAGGTCACGCCTCATTCGGTGTTAAGTTTAGAAAACAGGGTGTAGTGCAGGTGAGGCGTACAGGAGGGATTATTAAACTAGAACCTCCTTTCAGGACGGCAAGCTATACAAACAGAAGCAGTTTTGCCCAATGTGATCTGTCTAACAAGGATCACCATAATCTGGAAGTTTAAGGCACATCAGTGTCCTCATTACCTTGTGCAGAGAATTGTCTCTCTGTGCAAGACTGCCATTAGGTCAACACCAGCCTCTATTATTCATACGTGGAAAATTACTCTGAGCTCAATGTTTCAATTTTATTGAAAACAAATAGAATGAGAGACTGCTACTCTATTTAAATCCATAATCCTTTCTCCAGGCTTTTCAGCAGCCAAACCTTCCCCTCCAGCACATGAAACCCAATCATGAAGAACCCAAAAATGCAAGTGATTTAACTGATTTTCATTTCCAAAGCTGGGATAAATGTAGGAAGAAAATGAACCCAACTGGGGGTCCATAGCAAAACTCCCATTGACATTACCACAGCCTGGATTTAACCCAGAACAGTACAAGCGGATTTTTAACATTGACACTTAATATTTTAAGGTGATTTTAGTAATATTGTTAAATGCTTACAACACTTCTGTAATGTGCACAGTGTCTATTACGATAGTGACACAGTCCATTAAAGACAATTGCCTGATTTTTTTTAAAAAAGCCTATTCTTACAAGTAATCTCCAATCTTATTATTACTGAATGATTATAGGAAAAAATATTTTTCTATGTTTCTAGTTTGCTTACTTTATGCATTTGACAGCACTTTGCATAAAATCAATTCCATTGTTTCCCCTGTGTAAATCAGTGCCAGCTAATTCCACCTTATGTCTGTCTGGGATTTACACACAGCCACATTAAAGGAAGTGTCTATATTTAAAAAAACAAAAAAAACCCACAAAACTGGGATTGGGCATTCTAGAGCAGCCAAAGTACTTGAAACTTCTCTGAAGCATCGAATTGTCAGAAGAAAGCTTTGGTTGTCAATCTTGTACCTGTATTATCCGCAAAAGTCGTCTGAATGACAGGTTAGAGATGGGAAATATGTTTCCCCTCCTCCCCCAGTTTGTTTACCTTGTCCATTTGACAGCACAAGGCTAGATATAGGTCACTGACTATACACCTTACCCCAGGCCCTGAAAAAGGGCATTTACCAGCAACAGAGCTGAGAGTGAAACTGAAAACAAAACAGGCTGCAAGCACATGTATAGATGCACACAGGGAACACAGCAGGACTCGGAGCAGTAGGGTGGCTTAGTGGCATTGCTTGTGGGTGTGCACAAAAACCCTTCTTATAGTATTGCCAAGTCCAAGCATTAAAAATTCCTGAGACTGGTTTAAAAGTCATGAGATTTCAAAACTACTACATTCAGGTTCTTTTTATTTGCCTTCTGGTACTGGAGCCTTTAAGTTGCACATTTTCAAGCTTTTCTCCATCCCCCATGAGAGCTAGCAGCTGGAGGGAAGGAGGGGGCGAGGTTACTAAACATGAAAGCTGATATTCTCATATAATTAACTAACTCCAGGAGTTGGGGCTATAAGAAAGCCATCCAATATCCTGAGGCTCACCATAAAATTGTGAGAGTTAGCTGAAAAACCTTAGTGTTGCCAACACGTTTAATAATTTTTGAGATCAAGACATCCCATTTAAAGGGTTCTCTCTCTCTCTCTCTCTCTCTCAAAGATGAATTTTTTTTAACGAGTCAGTTTTTAAGAAGATTCAAATTGACAAGAACCTTTAACACATCTGTGAAAATGACAAGATTTCCAGTTGATCTTGTTCTTTAACATAGTGAGAAGGCTTAGCTATGGAATGAAGATTTCTGATGAACATTTAAGGATGATGTGTGAACTAAAGTGCACGTGGCTATGTACAACAACTCAAAAAGTACGCAAGACCGGCAGCGGAGGATACCCCTGGTTTAGGCAAATCTCCAAGAGGCGTAAAGCCAATGTAGCCAACTCTATGCCACCTGCATCCTAGCTACCCTTAGCCAGCAGAGCAGTCCCTCGAAGTTTTTAGCCTGCTCTAAATTCCAGTAGGGAAACAATGTAGTACCATCTCAGGGGAAGGAGAGATTGACCACAACCCCTCTTCAATTTGAGGGGTTGCTGCCTGCTATTCTACATATTCTTCCAGCCTCTCTGCAGCTCTATCCCTCATCCAGCCTCCAATTTTTGAAGACTCGTCTTCCGTGAGCAGCCTCAGTTCCTACCTCCAGTGCCACTCAGAACTTTTCCAAGCAGAAGCAGCCCTGACCTCAGAGTTTCCCCAAACAGCAGCAGTGAAATTAATTAGAGTTCTATTTAAGGTGCTGCTCTGGCCCAAGCAGCGACAGGTACACTAGCGAGGTCTATTTGCAGGCTCAGGTGAGATCATGGTTCACACATCATATTTCAACTACAAAAAAAAACCAACGTTGATTTCTGCAGAAATCAGCCTCAGCCCCTTCCTCTCCTCTCCATTCATTAGGTAAAATTCCCCAATTATCAATGGGATTTTCAAGCCACTCTATTAAATGTGGTCCATTATAACAGTTTTCAGCTGATCCATCCTTAGAGGGGGGGAAGGGCATGTTTCCACATGCACATTCCACAGACTAGTCAAGAGGTTCAGCCCATTGAACCACTCAGCTTCCCGAGGTTCATGCAGACACTAGGGGATATGGCCCGGGTTTCTACGCAGGAGCAGCTGTGGTACTGCTTCCTGCTCCTCCACGCAGCAACTGCAACAGAGCAGCTCCAGCGGGGACCAGAACGCCACCGTGTCCCTGTTAGATGCTGCTGCTGGCAAAACAACCCCACCCCCAGAAGGGGATTTTATGACGCAGAGGTAAAGAGCAGTCAGTCAATAAGGACTAGACCAGGAATCCCCATACATCTCCTGGAGAGGGAAGAAAGAACGATGCCACAGAAAGAAGTTGGGAACCTGCACTGCCTCTGATCTGCCATCTCTCTAACCACAGAGGGATTTCCATGGCATCAGGGAAGGCACCATGCAAGCTTCTTCTTCAGCCAAAACTGATGAATAGTGTTTCTGGTTGAGGGGAGATATGATTGATCTCTATAAATATATCAGAGGGATAAATACTGGAGAGGGAGAGGAATTATTTAAGCTCAGTACCAACGTGGACACAAGAACAAATGGATATAAACTGGCCACTAGGAAATTTAGACTAGAAATTAGACGAAG